GCCAACTGGAGATCTCCGTCTCAACGATGGGCCCCTCGCCGGTGCAAAGCGGATTTCTAGCATTGCTGGAATTCTGGGAATTCTCAAGCTGAAGTTAGGTAAATTGCGACCGGACAAATGAGAACTAAGTGATAGCGCTGACCACCGTTAGACAAGTATCTCATTGTCATCACCAAAGCGCAGCCCATGGGACGGCTCCGTGGTCATATGGTGTACAAAGTCGCTTCAACCGAATTTCTGCCAATGCGTGAACGTCCACTTCATGATACTGACGAAGATACCTACCTTGCGCTGGTCAAGAACCTGCTTCGCACCGGTCCCATGTACTTCTCTTACTCCTTAGACCTCACCAACAGCTTCCAGCGCCAATCGCAGAATCCCACGGATCTTCCCATGTGGAAGTGCGCCGACGATCGTTTCTTCTGGAACCGCTTTATCCAGTCCGATTTGATTGACTTCAGCTTGGGGGAGAATGACACCAGCGGCATCCGGTATGGCCCACAGCCTGGTGTGGACCCCTACATCCTTCCTGTGATGTTCGGCATGCTACGCATTACACCCGCTCGAGTAAAGTCCACCTCCTTCACATTCGCCCTCATTACTCGCCGATCCAGACACCGAGCAGGCACACGATACTTCTCACGGGGAATTGACGAGGAAGGCCACGTCGCGAACTACAATGAAACCGAGCAAATCGCAATTCTTAACGATGCAACCGGTGGAATGTCCGGCTTTGCTGGAGGACAGTCCATGTCCGATGGCAGGAAGGGCAAGGACCTTCAGGTGTACTCCTTCGTACAGACGCGTGGCAGTGTCCCTGTTTTCTGGGCCGAGGTCAACAATCTTCAGTACACACCAAAACTACAGGTTCGGGGAGTAGATACCGCTGTCGAAGCCGCACGCAAGCACTTCTCTGAGCAGATTCGTCTCTATGGAGAAAACTATCTCGTCAATCTCGTCAATCAGAAAGGCCGAGAAGAGCGAGTGAAGAATGCATATGAGCAGATGATTCGCACTCTGATCACATCGTCTCATGAAAGCACCGAGGCTAGTGAGAAGACGTCCGAAAAGATGCATACTTTAGAATCAGGCCTGAAGCAAAAGGAGATGGATCATCTGCATTATGTGTATTTTGATTTCCACAACGAGACCAAGGGCCTTAAGTGGCACCGTGCTGAACTTTTGTTGGGCCGCTTGTCTGAAGGCTTAGCGCAAGGCGGTTATTTCCGCGGTGTGGAAGCCCCTGGTGCTCCAGGAGGACAGTTGGATATACGGTCAACACAAGGAAGCGTTGTACGCACCAATTGCATGGACTGTCTTGACCGAACCAATGTTGTGCAGAGTATGCTTGGTCGCTGGGCTCTTACCCGACAATTGACGGATGCTGGCGTCCTTCAACCTGGAGAGACTGCTAATGATGACCGGGAATTCGAGGACTTGTTCCGCAATATTTGGGCTGATAACGCTGATGTTGTCTCCAAGTCCTATTCTGGCACCGGTGCCTTGAAGACCGATTTTACTCGGACAGGCAAGCGCACCCGGGCTGGCGCGCTTCAAGATCTAAACAACTCGATCACAAGATATGTGCGTAACAACTTCATGGATGGACCCCGTCAAGATGGATTCGATGTTTTCTTGGGAACCTATCTCCCATCAGACTCAATGGCCGTGAACATCCAACTATTCTTTGACCGACGGCCACTTGTGATCCAAGCTATACCGTATGTGTTTGCAGCAAGTTTGTTCATGGTCTCAGTCGCGACCCTCACTCGCCGGCTGCCGGATGCTGCGGTCTGGCCGCTCCGTCTGTTTATCATTTTCTGGTTGATCGTCGGTGCCTACTCCTTGCGCTTCATGCATGGGCATGGCATGCTATATGTAAGTCGACTTTTCCTCACCTAACATGTGGACTCATTAAGTGACTAATTCGCGCTTAGGTCAACTGGCCCAAGCTCAATACACCCATTGCCGGAGCCGAAGGATACCAAGATGCTATCATTAAAGCCCGCAGTGATCCGATCATTGGCCGATGGCTCCCTTCGAGAAGACACCAACGTGGTGTCAGCAATGCTCGTCTTGTCTTTCTGGAAGAAGGCAAGACCCGCATTGAATAAATCCGCTGCGGAACGGTCCCATTGGCTCCCCCTTTAACTTCTTCTTTTGTCTTCACATGTACACTTCATGGCTGTATGTTTTAACTACTTGCTTCCCATGGCTCCCCAACTAGCCTCTTTTCATTTCTTCTATTTTTTTGTCTGGTGGCATCGTCATGCTTTTTCCTTTCTCCTTTCACTTCTATTTTCTGATACATTTCTATCCTTCTCTGCATGGCTCCATGTTTGAGCTGGTTGCCACCATTTTCTATGAAAGGGCATCGTGCCCGTTGCTGCTTAGCACCCGAAGAGGTAGACGATATCTGGGGTAGAAATATCAGCCAAAAATATCTATTGATCAACCACCTATTCAGTGTCTAGGTAAACAGCGTAAAGTAATCAATGTTATCTACGAAGATAAACTTATCTCACGTGATATTCCCGATGGCTGATCCATCCATGTAACGCTTTCCCGAGGGGAGCTTGGATCACTGAACCAAATAATCGTCGAGCTTCCGGGGTTCTTTTTATTGCGAACACCCCGCCTGCTCTCTGATATTTGCAGACACGGGCCTCACTTGTCCATGAGAGGGATCTGTAGATCCTTTCGTTGGTCCTTTCCACGGCGGGGAGTTTCGACTCGCTCGCCCGCGATGACTCGCACATATGAGGTAAGTGCTCCGGCCATCATCCACCAATTGCCGCCCGGCAGCAAACGTGCAGCCCTAGAAAACCATACGGTCTTCTTTCTTCATGTCCAGATATTAATAATGCATTCGGTTTCTAGGCTGCCATTGTGGCACTCAATTCATTGCAGACAAACTATGCAATTGTGGAGGAGCTCCGGAAATCCGTCTCCAGGAAGGAGATGAACGAGCGCTCCATTCCAGAAACAGTTGAATGGCTTCAGCGTATTGGATACAAGGTTCGCTCAAATTTTTTTGATGCATATTGGTGCTGCTTAAATTTTGTTTTGGAATGCGGGGGCTGACACTGGAACTTTTGTCCATCTAGCCCTCCGACCTTGATCGCTTGAACCCAATCCATGTCGCTGGAACTAAAGGCAAGGGATCGACGTCTGCTTTTATCTCGACCATTCTCTCTCAATATGTTCAGCCAGAGTCCGACGAGTCGACCCCGTGCCTCCACAAGGTCGGCCTCTACACCTCCCCGCATCTTCGGTTCGCACGAGAGCGCATTCAGATCGACAACGCGCCGCTATCCGAAGCCCAATTCGCCAAGTACTTTTTCGAAGTATGGGACCGCCTCGAGGAGGCCGCCAAGCTGGCCGGCCAAGACCCTACTGCGCCAGGAACGAAACCTCAATATTTCCGTTACCTGACCTTAATGGCGTTCCATACCTACCTCAGTGAAGGTGTAGATGCAGCAGTCATTGAGTGCGGTATTGGAGGGCAGTATGATTGCACAAATGTGATTGAGAAGCCGAAGGCGACGGCGATCACTAGTCTTGGTATTGACCACACGGCGATGCTGGGTACAACAATTGAGGAGATCGCATGGCATAAGGGTGGCATCATCAAGTCCGGTGTCCGGGCTTTTACTGCACCCCAAGCACCCAGCGCAGAAAAGGTGCTGGCAGAGCGCGCAGCGGACAGAAATACCCAGCTAGATGTGGTGTCCGTTCACCCCGACCTTCGAGTGGGAGATACGGAAGTGAAGCTTGGACTTGCAGGTGACTTCCAATACACAAATGCATCATTGGCTGTCGCCGCTGCGGCCGAATACTTGAGAACGACTGGCGTGGCCGATATCCCGGAGGACATCATGACCCAGCCTCTCCCTGCCAAATTCAAGGCGGGTCTTGAAAAGACGCGCCTTGGTGGCCGATGCGAGACTCGATTTGAGAAGAATGTGTCGTGGTATATCGATGGAGGACATACACTTGAGAGTATCCGGCTGGCCGGTTCATGGTTTGCATCGCGAATCCAGGAAGACTCGTCCTCAAGCGATGTGGCCTCGAAGAAGCCGCGTATCTTGATCTTCAACCAGCAGACCCGGGACAGTACTGCTCTGGCTCGTGCTCTGCATGAGACTCTTGCCACAGCTCTGGGCTCTACAATCCCATTTACTCATGCTGTGTTTTGTACAAATGTCACCTACAAGCAAGCGGGCTATCGCCCTGATCTGGTCAGCATGAACACCAATGCAGATGATATCGACCACCTTCGAGTCCAAAAGTCACTTGCCGAGGCCTGGACCTCAATTGACCCACATGCCCAAACACAGGTGTTTGGTACGATCGAGGAGGCTGTGGACTTTGCCCGGGATGTGGCCGATCAGGAGAGCAAGGTCCTGCAGAAGGATGAAGCACCAGTTATGACCTTTGTCACTGGTAGTTTGCACTTGGTTGGTGGGTTCCTTGATGTGATCGAGACGAAGCCCTATTCCCAGGATGCTTAGTTGCTTCCAATCTTATTTAGATTCTTGTATCAACACTTGAGATTTATGATGATATATGGTGTGGCTATAGAGGTGTTTGATTTTAGTCTTTAGTCGATTTCAACAATTCGAGATTCCCCAGTTTATTTACCAATCAAAAAACGCGCAATACCAACGTATATCATTAGTGCGTGATGTATTCCCGAGGTTAATTTTGCACGATCAAGCTGTTACTTTGTCACATACTCGACACGCCACGTAGCTGCATCGCCGTCATGCGAGAAAATTAATTATCACCAATTGTTCCAGCTTCCAAAATGAAAATATTTACTATGGCTGCACACCTCCGTATCCTTGTTTCCAGAAAACGGTTGTAAATTGGTCCAAATTCACTCTTACCCCACCGATCCGCAGATTACATACGGTCAAACGTGGGGCCCAAATGAAATCCTCCCCTCCTCCCAACCTCACCTAGTGAACATTATTCCAACTCCCCAATAACCGGCCATGTCTGACTCCAACGATAAGGGCAAGGGCAAGGCTCCCCAGCGCCCCGAGCAGGATGAAGAGGCTAACCCCTCGAACAACAAGGGTAAGCGATACCACCAGCACTCCTCTGAGAAACAACACCTAACACCAACGGACAAGCAGGAGGCTCCGGCACGAAGAAGCTCCCCCCGAAGATGATTGAATCTCTAATGGAGATGAACCCTGCGCTGAAAAGCGAGCTCGCCAGTATGGATAAAGACAAGGCTGCACAGATGCTCGCCAACATGGACATTTCCCAATTGTTAACGGGACTCTCGCTCGACGGCAAGAACCAGAAGGACATGGCCTCATACAAGTTCTGGCAGACCCAGCCTGTTCCCCGATTTGATGATCAGGCAAGTAAGAAGGAGGTCACTCAGGGCCCCATCAAGATCATCGACCCGGAGCAGGTGTCGAAGACTCCCGATGCGCTCATTGAGGGCTTTGAGTGGTGTACTCTGGACTTGACCAACCCGGAGGAGCTGAAGGAATTGTATGAGCTGTTGAACAATCATTATGTGGAGGATGACAACGCCATGTTCCGATTCAGCTACTCACAGTCATTCCTGCACTGGTGTGTTGACCCCGTTGGTTCATATTCTCTGCGACCCAGAAACTGTGTTACTGATCGTTTGTTACCATTCCAATCATATAGGGCTCTGATGTCTCCTGGCTGGAAAAAAGAATGGCACGTCGGTGTGCGCGCCACCAAGTCGCGTAAGCTGGTCGCCTCTATTTGTGGTGTGCCTACCGAAGTTCGTGTTCGCGATAAGAAGATCAAGGTGACTGAGATCAATTTCCTCTGCATCCACAAGAAGCTGCGCTCTAAGCGCTTGACTCCTGTCCTCATCAAGGAGATCACCCGTCGCTGCTACCTCAATGGCATCTTCCAGGCCATCTACACTGGTGGTGTTATTCTGCCAACACCCATCAGCTCGTGTCGGTACTATCACCGCTCGCTGGACTGGCTGAAGCTTTACGAGGTCGGCTTCTCGCCTCTCCCTCATGGCTCTACGAAGGCCCGTCAGATCACCAAGAACCACCTCCCCGATCACACCGCGACACCTGGTTTGCGACCGATGAAGGCCAAGGATATCGATGCCGTATATGACCTCCTGGAGCGATACATGCAACGCTTCCAGCTCAACCAGGCTTTCACACGCGAGGAGATTGATCACTGGCTTGTGTACAAGGAAGCTGAAGGCAAGGACCAGGTTGTCTGGTCATACGTTGTGGAGGACCCGCAGACCCACAAGATCACAGACTTCTTCTCTTTCTATAACCTCGAGTCTACTGTCATCAATAACCCAAAGCATGATACTGTGCGCGCTGCTTATCTTTACTACTATGCGACCGAGACAGCCTTCACCGGCAACTCTAAGGCTCTAAAGGAGCGATTGATGTTGTTGATGAACGATGCTCTGATTTGCGCCAAGAAGGTATGACTAAGATGAATACCCCTTGTAATGCCATGCCCTCTTGCTAACACGATCTACAGGCCAAGTTTGATGTTTTCAACGCGCTCACTCTGCACGACAACCCTCTATTCCTTGAGCAGTTGAAGTTTGGTGCCGGTGATGGTCAGCTCCACTTCTATCTGTACAACTACCGTGCGGGACCCGTGCCCGGTGGTATCAATGACAAGAACCTCCCCGATGAGAAGAAGATGGGGGGCGTTGGAATTGTCATGCTGTAAATTGGAAGAAATTTGGCTGGATAGTGGATTTGAATCCTAAATACCCAGAAACGAATTTCCTTATGCTGCCATGAAGAACAGAAATACAAAACATATCAATTTTGAAACATAAACACTGTCAAGAGTAAATATTAATTGTTATGGCGCAAGCTTGAAACTGGGCAAACGATTTCATAGTCTGCGCTACATCTTCCGCGGCCGAGTATTGACACCTTAGGCAACCATATCTGACGTCGTCATCTGAAACGTTGCGCTTTCTCCACCTCCATGTTGTTGCCTTCAATTACCTCTCAAAGAATTAGGCTTCTGAAACTCTCCTGAAAGTCTGCTTTATCATTTATCACTCTAATACTTACTTGCGACCCTCAGATACCGAGGTGGAACAGCGGGGAATCTCCCCGCATTTGGCGCAATAATGGGTGCCGGTCAGTCCACCGAATATAGTGGAGCAACACCAGGTCAGTGTGACATAAATTCTGAATCCTTGAAAGCAGATGGACTTCTTTGAGGCATCACTTGGAGATGACGACACCCGGCTTCGTTGGCCTGAGTGTCCTTTTCTCCATGTGCCGTGTACCAGCAGACCCGTACCTGACTATAAACAGAGGAGCTGAGCTACATTCTTGCGGAACGTTTCGCAACCAAATGTTTCACACCACTGGAGCTCACACATTTCAAAGACAATTTCTTTTCTCGCGCTTTGGAACAGGGCGGTCTCAAATACTGGAATGAGAAGACCTTGTCTGATTTTTTGGGTATTCCCGATGGGAGCTTCGCCGACACTCACGATAACCCCGTTGATGCGGGACCGGTCCTGTTCCGTATGGTGTCATATCTTGGTGCCTTTCCATTCCAGAATACCATGGCTCCAAGTGTCTTGACCTTCGACGCGATGGTGAAAGTTGTCGTGCTGCTGACCGAGCGCTATGGGAAAGCCTTGCGGCGGGGACGCAAGGACCGGGTGAAGTTATTGTTTGGTAGTCTTGCCGACGTTGGGAAGAAGGATATGGCACATGATGGTCAGAAGGCAGAGGGAGGTGACAACAAATTGGCCATAGAGGAGGGAGAATCGGCTTTTGATACTCAGACTCATGCGCCTGGCTTCTCGATCGATCAACCGGCGAATGATGATTATGACGAGGATGAAGATGATGACCTTGCTCTTGCTGCACTGGAATCACTTGATGCAATTGAAGTCTTTAAGCACGATCATCGGGTTGATCAGACAGTTTACGAAACCCGAATATCGATTGATACGTTTCGGCGGCTGTTGATGCTGCTGCTTGTTATTGCGCCTTTGAAACCTCTAGAATCTGTGAAGACCTATACTTCCGATTTCGGCCCGGAAAGAGTCGATGCAATTCAGAAAGAGGCTGATAGCATTATTGCCGCGTTTTCCCCGGAGGAAACCGATGGGGGCATCTCATATCGGGCTTTTGCCAGGACGGTCTCGTCGTCACTGCCATATCTCTTTGATCCGTTAACACCGTTATTCGAACATCTTCTTTTCAGCAAGAATTTGAACCTTTCTCAGAGACGACAGAGAGGAGCAGCTCCAGAGTCAGAGGAAGAGCCAATGGAGAAACCTGAGGAAATCCTTCCTCCCGCACCGGTAATGCTCCCTGGCAGCTTCGAATCGACGATTCTGACCCCGACACTCTTGTCTCACTTGTCATTTTTCCTGCCTTCCGTGTCAGCATCTTTGAATCTCTTTCGCAGTGGAGTTCGCCTTCACCCTGTCTTCTCCACTGCCGCCCATGGTTCCTCACTCACCTCATTTTCCCATCATGTCTTGACTTGGCAATCCGCTTCTCTCCTCATTCTACAGGGTGTAGTGGAAGGTTCTTCTGAGGAGCTTATTACAATAGGGGCATATCTACCGCAGTCCTGGAAGTCATCCTCGTCTAGCAGCAGTAGTTCCTCAAATCAACCCACCAGCCCCTTACCCTACCTCTTCCAGCTATGTCCAACTCACCAAGTCCTCCAAGGGAACTCTTCCCCCTCTGTTGCTCAGAAATCCAATCTCCCGGCAGCTTGGTTCTCTACACATTCCGGCATTGCAATCGGATGTCAAATCCCCCCCTCCTCCCGCACTCACCAAACACATCCGAGTCCTCATGGTGCAGGTAGTCTACTCATCGACGTCAATCTCGAATCAGCTGAACTGCACGTTGCGCCGGTCCGTCATGATGGTGTCTTCCTGCCACCAAGTACTGCATCTATCAACGACAAGCCAACGAGGACCAGACTGGATTTATATAGTCTTGAGATCTGGGGTGTTGTCCCAGATCCAGAGATAGCATCTTCTTCCGACCCAAACTCAAATGCCGTTGAGGCGCAGCGTGCGAGATGGGAGTTCGAAGCACGTGAAGCAGAAAGAAGACGCAATGTCAATCTTAAAGCTGGAGCAGGTGATTCAGCAAAGGAGAGTGCTCGATGGCTTTTGGAGACGGCGGGCATTATTGGAGATGAAGCGCAACAATATGGGCATTCTTAAATCGATCAAAGTGAAAGAGTTTGCAAATTTTCAATGAATACTTCTCTCTATCTACCTGAGTGACTTGTTTATTACGCCTGCATTTGGAGATCGGCTGTCATATCTTCGTGTTTACTCTGACTCAATCTCTAATCAAGAATTAACCAAACTTTGGCCCAGTCATCTTGATCGCGGAAGCAGGGAATAATGCTATAATGATGTAAATATAATTGACATTGAGAACTCCGTCCAGCAGATATTTATTCACCCAATGGTTCAAATACAAAGCAAATAACTAAACTCACGCTACATGAACTCTGCGTTATATAATGTGAGAGCATGCATGTGAACCGAACGTAAACCTTAAAACGAACCCCGAAATGCAAAATGCCCCCCCCCCATTCAACATGCCAAAGATGTTGAACCCAAGCCAAAGACTCCAGCGCTCAAAAGATCTTTATTTCGTCTGCAAGGATGGCGCTGTACTCTTATGCTTTTCTCGCAAAAAGTCACAAAGCCGCTCTGTGTCCATCTTATCAATGTGTTCCGAATGTTTTTCCAAGTCCAGATCTAAAGAGACACCAAGGTCAGTGAACAAGACTCGAACAAGAAACATGCATTGGTAGAGCCTTACCCTCCTCAATAGTCTCTTCCACCTCACCCGTGAGATTCCGGATCTGGTTTCCCAGATTTTGCAAGGCTTCCCCGGCCGCAGGGACTGCCTTGTCAATAACGGTTTCTTTTATAGTGGCAGCCGTTTCTCCTGCCACCGCTGTGGCTTTGCTTGGGATCTCCGAGATCGAACTACCGCCCGTCAGAGTATCCAGCTGGCTTTTCACGCCGTCATAAACATCTGAGGACTCTGAGTCGGCAACGGATGTATTTGTCTCGGTTATCTGTTGTTGTACGTCATTGGAGGAGAGAGAGTCGCCGTTTGGGCCCATAGTGCGATAAGCGTAGTGAGGGGAAATTTCTGGGGTCGACAAGCGAGAGGTTAAGGTTAGAAGAAGTGACTTTCAGGGTAGGCACCGTAGGGCTGAACTTGACGTAGGGCTGATGGAAAAGAGTTGTACAAGGATTGGACAGGTCTTAGCGTCGAATTATGACATCGATGAGGTGCATGGATGGGATAGTTTGACCACTGACATCAATTGCCGATCTTTGAATTAGGCAGCAGGATCTCGGCTGAGATCATAGCGCGTTGTTTCGTGTCCAAGATGGTGGAGCGATTTCTATTCAGGGCCGCTGATCGTGCCTGAAATGACGTCGCTGGACCCACCAATGTGGATGGTCACAGCATCCAAATTCGGTGGAACGCCAAGAGGAGTACGCATCGCTATGAATCTTCGCGGATGGAGACCCGAGACTTCAATTTGATGGTCTGGTTCGGTAATTAAGAGCACAATTCGCATTGGCTCCAATTCTCATATCGTTCAACCCGTTTATAGCGAAATGGTCATGTGACAATGAAGTATACAGAGGATTGCCTCTAGATGCTCAGGCGGTTTCCTCGTGTTCGAGGACTAGGACCGCTCTATGGCGTTATCTACCTACCTAGGAACCGACGTCTTCTTCTCCATGATTCAACGGCCCCATCTTCAATATGCAAGAAAAAAATCGGGCGCGTGGAGGCTACCACTAATTCAAAGATCAATGTGTTCAAAACATTCCACATGCATATGAATGTACCAATAGAGAAGAGCGTTCGAGGACCTAAAGAAATGAATCATGTTCATTCGCCAGGTTTGTCGCTGGTCAAGGGTCGGATGATACTTGGTAGCTTGACCAGGCGAAGTAATGTTTGGTCTGGGGTGCATCAAATTTGCAATGACTTGGACAGGTAAATCAGTTGGCGTGTCTCCCTCTTCACACCACATTTGGAGCCAGTGAATCATGAAATTAGGTCCAGATATCTGCCAGTGGCTGGGTACGTGAGGAACCTTTTCCCAATGCAGTTTGAGAGAACTGTACTGAGCTCTTGGTCGGGAAGTTTCGGGAAGTGTACTTTTCCATCTTGCACTCTTGTTGTGGTTTTTCCAGCAGTAACCTCATGCAGGGCGAGGCGGGTCGTTAGATTCCGGTAGATGTTCGAGCCGGCAACATGATTTCTGGAGTAGCGTAAAGTTGGAAGGAGAACACGAGGGATAAATGATAAGTGAAAGAGCAATACAGCATGTGGAGGTTGATTGAATACTGGCAAGATGCGTGGAAAACGAAGAAGACTTCGAGCCTAGGTAGAAGTTACCATACATATGCTTCCATACATATGCTTGAGATGACAATCAAACCTGGAAAAACCTGATTGGAAGCAACAATAATCAGATAATTCCATTCGTGAAAATGAATAAGACCTTAATAAAGAGCCCTCTGTACCATCATTTGACTACGTGCACAGATACATATGAAAAGAAATACGTATTCAAAGATTAGAGCTGGAGGAGCTAGAAAGGTATACTACATTTTATCCATTTAGCTTCGTTCTTACATAGCATAGCATATTCGATCAAAGACCATGGAAATTTCTGCCAAGCTGCAGCACATCCTAGGTCCTTTACAAAAGAGCTCTGAAACCAGAATCCCGGCTGCGATCCAATCCCAAGAAGTCAACCACTTGTCCAAGATGATCGATGCCCCAGAATCCCTCCGTGTTGCCATTTGTGTCAGTACACTCAAACCACGGGAGACCGAAAGCCCCAACCTTAAACGCGTGGTCAGTATTTGAATTTAGAATGGCCTTGATGTCTGCTTGAGTTGTCTAGTGGAAGCTGGTTAGCTATTGACAATAATAGGACGAAAGACTGGAATACTCACAGCTGATAGAATCTCTTGCGTGGCCTGCTTTCCAAGGATGTCTTCCAGCACTGGCGCAAAGCCTTCAGGCTCTCCAATCTTTGAGTTCCTGTCGATCCACATGGAGCGGTAAAGAGCCTCGATCACCGAGGGCAATTTTGCAGGTGCTTTCTGTGCAACAGCGCAAAGGGCGCGTTGAATCGTAAGTGTTTTGATTGGGAAGCCGTCAGGCATCTGCTCAGCAATCGGCACTGAAAAGTACTTGGCCCATCTCAGTCGCTCTTTGTTGATCCACTGATCCTTGTCTGCGTGGGAATGAGATCAGCATGTTCCTCGTTTATTGGAAATACCTCCGGAACTTCGCGTCACATATACTCACTCTTGATGTTGATTGGAGGTGTGTTGTTACAGGCATGCATCAAGCCACCCAGAAACATGGGAACGTAGGTAACTTTGCATTTTGCAAAGGTAGGTGAATTCTGATCTTGTTTTAGAGCTTTTGCAAACCAAGGTTGGACAAGAACGTACCTTTAGGACATGGAATGCGATATATGCGAAAGGGCTAACAATATCCACGTAAAGAGTTATTTTTGGAACTGCCATGGCTGGGTTATTGCGTCGGCTTGAGGCTGAATCACGCTATGTACTTTGTAGAGGGCAATTAGTTCGGGTTGCAGGTCGCTTTGAGCTCCAGCATTCCCCGCAACAGGGGTCGATGAGTAAGCGTTGTAGCCGAGGTTCGGATATTTGGGGATAACTTCATCTGATCTGCACGAACGTTTACTCAGCGATTACCGCTCATGCTGATCTTGCTTCACTAGGTACTATTCCTTTAGTCCAAAGATTGAAGAAGACGTGGGAATTCTCAGTAAGATTCACGCATATTAAGTTCACTTCTAATTACCCCCACTATATCCATAGATCTCTTGCATTTGGATTTATGAACCAAACACTTCACCACATACCCCTGTCTGGATTTATTAGAATCAGGTACATAAGACATAAAAAAATAAGGAAAAAAGAAGTTTCATTTTTCAGAAGTGATCTATGCACAAATGATGGATTGACTGAGTAACATTCAAGGTTCCCAAGTGAGCGAGCTTATGTTCACTCGCAATTTTGTCCGAAGAGAATCCAAATGTCTATAGAGCCCTGGACATCATAGAAGAGTTTCGAACAAGTTGCATCAATGTGCAATCATGGTGGCTCAGGCTAAGATATGTAATATTCGCCTCCAACGCGCCACCACCAGAATATAGTCAACTTAAGAGCTTCTCCTTTTCCTCTCTATACCACCAAAATTGGACAGAAGTAACACCAACAAGCCAAAACCATGACATCCCGATCCGTCAGTCCATTTGGGTCCGCCGAGAACCTTGCCCAGATCCTCAACCTGGACCCCAGCGATAATCCCGATGAGCAAGAAGGCACCATGCCAGACCATTCCCGCGTGACCAGGCGTGGTGCTCCGGCTCGACACTCCCGTCGTCAGCGATCAGAGTATCGATCCTGGGATCGAGCAAGCGATGTACCGAGAAAGGGGACTACAGGGTCAAAGAATCGGTCCAAGTCGAGACATTGAATCGGAAGTGGCTTGAATCAGCCTGGTCTTCATGACTACGTCTGTAAATAACGCTACAAGGATTACGAAATGCAAAAGAACTACTTGTGAACTTTTTATAACCAAGCTGGGTCTTTATTCTGTTCATTGTGTTGAGATATTTCATTAGAGAGGCATGTACTATCAATTCATTCTCACTGATGATGTTGTAGGTATGTGATTTTGCAAATCTGTGTTTCCTTACTTATTGTCCCCCGTTCTATTGAACAATTCATGTTTGATGCAGAACTACTCATCTCCAGCATCTCCGAGTCTCTGCTTTGCTCGTGCACCTCTGCCTGGGTTTGCTGTTGGTGACAGTGTGAGCACCGCGGTCGAGCGTGATGGCAGAGGACACTCAACTTCCAGAATGATCTTGTGGTTTCATACTTCACGCTGACAAGGTTGTCCATGAAGCTGCGGACAGACCAGGCGCAAATAGGCGGGGGATTTCGTAGAAGACAGGGATAGTTCACATGGGATTACCGAATGCCATAGGGGAATCGCTTCCTATGAAGTCTTAGCCGGCTCGACCAAGCACACCCGAACATGGCTAGGGACCCCGCTACTTCTTAGTTTTATGTCTCTACTGGCTCATTGTACCCATTAAGTTTCTGTTCGGTTTTCATTCTGTAGTTGATAATATCTGGACAATCATAAGCTCTTGTTGAAAGAAACAGCGGAATTCAATTAGGACAAAAGAAGGCAATTGCCAAGGTTGCAATCAAGTAGTAATCTAAAATTTCAATCATTCATCGCCGAAGTTATGCCAGTCTCACAACCCTCTAGCCACTAACGCCTTGCGCAATGTTGCTTGGAAGCCACGCACATGCAAGGGAGAAAGCATCGTGTAATGATGTCCGGCAACATCATGGTACTTGACTTCGCTATTCCTCACAAAGTCCCTCCATCGATGAAGATGATCCTCCAGCCATTGTTGCTTGCTACTAGCAACGACAGTCAATGGCTCGCAATAAAAGACGTCCATGCTACCCACTGATCCACTCGGATCATAATCCCGCGCCATGCTCTGTAATCCATAAGCCAAACTGGCCCATCGTTCCAATTTTGCTGCTGTGATTGAGAGATCTGTTAACCGTTCCACCGAGGAAGCCTTGATAACCTGGACAATGGCATCGGATTTTGGAAGGTCTAATATATCAGGGCGTATAATTTGAGCATGATCTTCAGTCATGAGGTCAAGGAAAAACGCAAGATGTAGAAGGCATTCTGTCCAGTCCAGCTGACGCATGCGGAACTTGATATGTGGCGGCAAGTTAAAACAGCCGACAAAGCGTACTTCGTCGCCCTCTTCCTCGAGGGCCTTGGAAACCTCAAATGCGAGCATAGAGCCGTAAGAGTAACCAGCGAGTGCGTATGGGCCCCGGGGCTGTTTCTTCTTAATGGCGGCATGGTAGGTTGCAACACATTCTGCAATATCTAGAAAGTGACTTTCGTCATCATTGAAGCCTCGTGCTCTCAGCGCGTATACTGGACGCTCGGTAATGAAAGTGCTCAGGCCGAGAAACACGAGAATCTCTCCAACGCCAGGATGGATAAGCCACAGAGGGGTTTTCGTTCCTTGGGAGTTGAGTGTAACGACAGGATTGTATTCCTGGGGCGTATCAGATTCCTGCAGCGCATTTGCCAGCCCTCGAACAGTTGGGTTTTTCATCAATGTGATGATTGGTATGTCATCAGGGTTCAGCTGAAGCCTCTGCTCGATGCGTTTCTTAAGCTTCATCAGATCCACCGAGGTCAAGCCATGCTCGAACATCATGGCGTCAACGCCAATTGTCTTTTGAGGAATGTCCAAAAGTTTCTCCAGTTCCTCTAAAATGGCCTCTTCAACTGGGCCTTCTGGTGGACAGTATGTCATTTCCTGGTATGTTTTCACCGCCAAGTCATTGGCTGCCTCTTGGTCGCAGTATTCGCCGCTTTCTAGAGCCAATCGAAGCTTGGAGCCCGACAATTTGCCAAGCGCAGTTCTTTGTAGGTGACGCTCTTCGAGTGGCAGAATGTATGGACGCGAACTTGTGAACGCTAGCACTGCTTTCGTGATAGAAGCCTGCGTTTGATACCGCATCTCAATGTTATCTGGAGCATAAGTTGGCAGATAGATAACGGCAACTTGCTCTGTCGGTGCGCCAGCTGGCCGGGTAGCGAAGCAAACGACATATCCAGGCGTGATGCCTTCAAAGTTTCCTTCTTCTATTGCACCTTGTACCTCGATCGGAAGGAATTTGACTCCGTTGATTGAAATGAGCTCTTTAGTTCGCCCAGATAGACAGAGTCTACCCGTGGCGTCGATTTTTGCTGTATCACCTGTCTTGAACCACCCATCGGGCGTAAAGGCCTCTGCGGTGGCAAGCTCGTTGTTGTAGTATTGCGGAAAGACAATCGGACCTCGGATCTCTAAGCTTCCAGCTGGTCCACTAACTCTCATCTCAATACCAGGAACGCAATATCCCAGGGAAGCAAATTCATGCTGGCGTGTCACGTCATATGACGGACAAGCCAGACTGTATATCGAGCCGGCACAGGTCTCTGTCATTCCAAATCCGGGCACGATCACATTATCCCGCGCTCCATATTTTGCCAAGAGTTGTGATATGCGGACGCACGTCTCGACAAGGTTTGCTTCGCCACCTGAGACAATATATTCCAGGCAACTGAGGTCAGGAGTGGTATTAATACCCCCAGACTCGAGCACACGGGCAAGCTCGCAAAGAAAGAAATTGGGAGCAAAGGTCCTGACAACTCGGTGATGATGAATCCTCTCGAGGAAAAGTGTTGGCGTGGCAATGATGTCTTCGGGCTGTACATGGACCTGGCTCACACCAACAAACAAAGCGTGCATGTGTATTTCTATCAAGCTGCCAACGTGATCGAGGCGTATCCAGTTCAGGAATGAAACAATATCGTTGTCCTCGGCACGGATGGGGAGCATAGATGCTTTACCGGCAACCGAGGCTGAGATTTGGGAGTGTGTCAAGCAAACAGCTTTGGCGTTGCCAGTGCTCCCTGAAGTCAACATCAGGAGAGCCAAATCAGTGCATTTATTCTTCTGCCTGATACAATGTTCTGTTGGCTCTGCCACCGCAGTGGCAGAATGCAGAATATCATCGACGTCAAGAACTGTCAATATGGAAGGCGTGGGAAACTGGCCCATCAAGCTTGACCGGGTGAGGCAGATGGGGTCATCGAGAATAGACTTCAAGTGAGCCAAGTGCTTTTCGCAGTGGTGTGTATCGCGAGGGAATGCAGTCGACATGGCTGGAACATATCCTGCATAGATAGTCGACCATAACCAAATGATATTCTCAAGGTGATCCTCAAAGTGAATGAGAACAATTGAGCCTTCTTGGCGGTTCAAAACTCTTCGCAAAAGCTTTCCATTGAATACTGCCAAAGCACGTAACTCATCATATCTAATCTCCCGAGGCTTGGAAGCGCCCAGGGAGTAGGCAACAATACTGTTGTGAGAGCTGTAGGCAGCTGCATCTTCGAGAAGATTGAGAATCTGAGGAGGTCTCATAGTGATCAGAAGTAATGATTGAAGCCTTGTTTTCTTTATACTGCTACTACTGCACACATGGGTGCCCTTCCAAGGTTATATATGAGGATTAAGTTGGAATGGCCCCAGTTATACTTCGTGTTTTACTGTTATATCTTACTGTTATATCTCGGACTCGCCGAATCCGGTAAAATGTAACCCTTCAGGTGGAGGCCTTAGGGGCCGACAAATCCTTTGCAATTACCTGGATTCCGCTAAGTCTTACAGGTGGAGAAGAGAATGTCAGGCAACCGAAGGTGGGATATGTAAGACCATGGCGCCTTTGTCTGTTGTCTTTTTCGAAGATCATCACCCGAGCATCCAGATAGGATATTGTTCTCTTGATCGGGTATTATGGATAGTGATATGGAATAATCGTTCTTAAAATATTGTAATTTTTTAAGTTTCTTTGGTCCATATCTTCAAAACCTTGGAAGAATGTTTTAGTGACCAATTTGCAGTACCCTGGAAATGAAGTAATATACCTAATACAGTGTCAAAAGGTCAAATGATCCAAATGAATCCACAGTAGCCCGTGTGTCCTCGGATGACGCGGAAATCAACACGTAGGAAATTGAGTGGCCAAGATAGCGTGATTATACTTAGTGCTTTACCGTCAAGAGCCGGCAAGGCTTTGTTGCAGACCTCATGTCATCCCCAGAATCTGCAGATCAATATGCACCGGGGTGAGATATCGCGGGCCATCTGCCCGTTTCGACCGAGTCCGAGGCTAATGCCGAGATCCTGGGACACGCCGATTGGTATTACGTCGAGTCTCATCACATGCGCCACGTGCTGAGAAGATATCAAGGGCTGCAAGTATGAGAGCATTAGCAGTATTGAGAACACGGCGAGGTAGAGAGGAAGATCTTTCCCGAAAGCTAATCTGACATCAGAGGGGCGCTAGCCCCAATTGGCATTTAAGCAATCCTTCCGATGACGGAGCCTTCGGGCCTTCGGTGAACTGCATGTATACAGGGGCTTTTCTTTTTCTGTTTCTTTTTGTCGATATCATGTTGGCTGGCGGTAGCCAGGCGTGCTCTGCTTATCATTTCCGATCTCCGCCAACCGGAAGTAGAGACACTAGTCCGCCCTGGCATGTCTTTGGGTTCGGTATGACTATGGAAGTGAGAAACTTGATTCATTACCTGCCTTCAAGGATCTCACTCTTGATGTTCCCTATGCCAAGGACCAATGTTTTTTAATCAAAGATATAGTTCACCTGGAGTTTGATAGGTCAAGATAAGCAAATGTAAGCTTTAAATGTTGCCCCGGTGGTGTCGGCATATTGACTAGTTATCTGATCTCGATCCTCGACCGGTTTATTTAGATAATAGGTCACTGCAAATTTTTAATTCCAGCGGGTAAAAGAATCCAATTATATTTTGTGGCTGTTAGATTCGGTGTAGTTTATCTGCACCACTACATTCATACCTCTGCTACAGAAACAAACGACTAGTGCCCACCCGAATATCCCTCCCCCTTTTGGAGGCACTGCAGCATAAGCGTTGATGTCGGGTTACAGGTGTAACCTATGTGCTTTGAGGCGCTGACTGCAGTTACTGTTACGTGTTACAGAGTACAGAGGCTCTTCAAAATTTGATTGTGCTGCATGACTTTCCAACCACCAGGGCTTTATAGCCCATAACTAGTCCCCTGCATGCACATGTCGACTGATTTGACCTGCCCGTTAATCATTCGAGAACTTTATGGTATATAAGTGACCAGACTGAAATACTCTGCAAGTATGTAGCTTACTACATGTGATAGTGGGGTACATGGTACAGTATATGCATGGCAGTCAAATATCACCGATAACAGCGCTCCTTTGGTGGTGATTAGGCTATCCACTTTTCAGAAAATTTCCTTTTTTTTTTCCTTTTCAATTCATTTTTCTTTTGGTAAATGTAGTACGTAAATATTACTGTGTATCGTGATTGTTCCTGCTAAGCAGCCGGTCACGCCATCATCTTTGAGAATTCCCAATATATCGTAGAGGATTCAATTCAAATATTCTCTGCCTCAAGGGGTTACAACTAGTTTCTTAGCCTTGTCCCCGGAACTCCAAGCCGCCGGAAAGTCTTCTAACGAAGTAGGAAAAAGGTCAAAAGGGGGTTTGATCATGGCAACGGCCGCCACCAATGCGCTCTGCTCCCTCTTCAAGTCCTCGCCGCTAAAGCTACCAATACCAGATGCCATAATCCTTATCGGTCGCTTATTGATCAGCTGTGCAGGCAAGTGCACATCCTTATGACCCGCCAGCCCACCCGTGAGAATGTATTGCAGATCTTTCCCAGGATCAATCTCCACAGCTTCCATCAGAGATACGCCATTAGGCCCTCCAACATAGTCAAGCACGATATGCACAGGGCCGAGGTCATCCGGCAACACCAATGGCTCTTTCAGGATAACGCGGGTGTCAAGCCCCTCCACTGTAGCCAGGGTATCTGCATTGCGCGAAAAGCCGATTACCCGTGTCGCCCCCAGAGTACGCGCAATAAGAGCGGCGAGCCGGCCCGAGGCACTTGTGGCGCCGACAATAGCCACTGTGAGGCCTTTACAGCCCCCGATAGCCCGGTATTTCAATGCCATCCAGCTGCTAGTTGCAGGATTGGCGAGGCCAGCCAAGCTAACAGGGTCAATGTTGGCATCTAGTTGAACGAGTTGACTGCGAAGGACGTTGGCACGCTCAGCGTAGATTGGCGCGGCGAAGGCATGAATGAAATAACGGGTTCCAGTGGTTTCATCCAGGCCAACACCGTCGACACCAGGATCGAATGGGAGAGTTGCGTTGTAGGCGCTAGGGTGATCCTTTGCGGCACGAAATCTTGTCACGCGAGGAACACCGGCCGCCAATATCCGGAGCTGAAGCTGGGTAGGTTCGGGTGGGGGAAGGTCTGGAACAGTGATGTATTCAGGTGGTGAGCCCCAGGAAGTTACCCGAACAGCTTTCATTCTGAGGGAGATTGTTGGAGATTGTTGTTTTGCTGGTTGAAGAACAGGAGCAGAGGTAATATTTTCAGGGCCAGTTTGACAGTATCACTTGTCTTTGGAATTTCTTCCAGAAATTATAGACCTGGGCGCCTCCAGGAGTGTTAGTATGATTTGCAAAGGTGATGGCAGACTGCATGATGATCCAATCCATAATTGGCACTAATCGTCAAGAGCAAACGTAAGCCTTGCTCAAATTTCGATTTGTAATTGCTCAGCACGCCTGAAATAAGCCAAGATTGCTTAAATCCAGTCAACGCTATTCTTGAAAGCATGTTTTACCAAACAAGGATTTGTACTTGCAAATCCATAACCTAAATGGGAAGACCGAGTGCCGAAAAGCGAAAACAAACATTGCGGCCCCATTTCCGGCGTAACCATAGCTCTGAGAGCATCGGATTTAAGGCGTTTCATCCTGATATTGAATCTGTTGCCCTGCTTCATACGTAACGCTTCTTTTGGAGCAATCTTACCCGAACCTCAAGCGGAAAAAAAAAAAAAAACCAATCCTGAGGTATTATATTCCAAATAGCGTGAGAAACACTCAATACTGCTTTGTTGGCGCTGTATTATGTATTTATGCAGGCTATAGTTTGTGAAACTCAATGACAGTCGGGTGCGGTCTACACTTACTCTATGTGTACACATCAATCTACGGTTTACATGCACCTTCAAAAATTCGAATACCGAGAAGGGATACGAGGTGCTGCATCCTTCGAAAACACCCTGAATGATGATCTTTCAAAGTTTAATTCTAGGCGGGAATTGGATGCCTTGCATGGTCGGGATTGAAAGAACGGGATTACGGCACTCGATTTCGAAGCAAAATCCCATCAGCATCCCTACCGTTTTTATATGAAGGTGAGATATCATACCCATGAACCTCTAGAGTCTCACCACCTAGGCACGGCCAAATCTCGAATCTTGGAACCTTTGAAGATAGACTGCATTTCAAATGGCGACTGCAACAATGATCAAGCTCCCCGTGAGTAACACCATGGTAGTGAGCAAGAATGTAAAAGAAGATGCTCGAGCTACTGTGGATGAACTGCTCCGACGGAATCATCTAGAGAATCACATAGCGTGGCACCAAGAAAGACGAAACAGTAAGTGGTTCCTTACAGTCACTGTGTATATTGTAAGATACAGTCAGTACTCACCAGACCATGACAATATCCTCAGATCATGTGGTTCATCATATGCTCTCCATTTACGCCCTAGGAGCCACCTCGGATCAGATCCGAGAGCACTACAAGCGCGCAATATCAGTCGTTCCTCCTGCTCACCCAATCGATGCGAACTTGTCGCAAAGCCTGATCGACCGAGAAAAATGGAAGATCCACATTGGAGATCATCTCTATTATCACAGCTACCTGGCTTTCTTCGAGCGGGAGATTGAAGCCAAAGGATATATCAATGTGATGCTAGAGTATCTGTTTGCGGAGGATGAGCGTGCCGAGGACATGCTGTGTCGACTATTCGCTGGTGAGTGGTGGCGTACAATTGCTGATATTGAGCGTAAACTCAGCCTCCGCAGGACTTTTGCATCCCTGGATACATTTGGGATTCGCACTCGAGTTTCAACAGCCTTCCCTAATGGCAGAGGCGCTGGCTCAAATTGCTACAATTCCGACCTGGAATTTCGAAGAAATCCTTTTGCCTGCCGAGAAGGTGGCCGGGGATTTTGGATCCAAGCCTCTGATTGAAATCATGGAAGATATGAGGAAAGACGAGAGGGTAATGGCTGCACCTCAATGGTCTAACTTTAACAAGCTGCTCGACGTGATTGCCAATGTTCCGGACGCGCTCATGAAATATGCTAGCCAATTCACAGTAACAGAGGACCAATTGGATGAGAAGGTGGCAGAGTTGATGGAGACTTCTGGTAATTGATACTTATGGGTTTCCCCCTCGAGCTTCTCACTGACACACAATGATCCAGCCTATGTCTTCGGGGCAACGCAGAGACCTGGAAAGGTCCCCAGAATCGAGTTCTTGCTGATGCACTGCGTGACCTCAAATGTATTTCTGTCCAACGTTCTCTACCACCCATCCATCAGTGCTCGAGCGCGTGTTCGAATGCTTGAATGGAAAGGGCGTACCGACCTCATTATTTGGGCTTCCTGCAAATGCCCTAGGTTGTATCCTGCCAGGGTGATGAATTATCCGGTCACTAAGAACTGGGATGCTCTCATCCAGTGGTCACTGAATCACCCAGACGAGGACAGTCATTATATCAAAACGTTACGTGCGCTGATGCAAGGCCAGAAGGTTGGACGATTGTGCCGGGACCAGGGAAAGAAACCAAAATTGATGGTATCTGATATGACGTGGCTGCAAGTGGGCAATATGTGTAAGCCTTTCTTGATTTCGGGGACTTTCACTGTTGCTATTACTGACGATTGTCCATAGTGGTTGCTGCGGGTGAAGGTGACCCCAAATACGTGCGATACGCTGGGTTCGACGAAGCGTGGGATGGGGTTCAAGATGAACGTTCAGCAGCTGAAGAGGAAGGCGCGGTCAATGCGGAATCTGCCAGCTCCACCCGTGCTATTGAGCGTGGGATGGCATCCCTCTGACAAGAAATTTAGAACCAGGGAGAATTCCATTGGGTATGCTGTAGAACCCAGCGTGTTTGCCTGGCAAACCGCCTCCCCCGCCATTTCTTTCACTTTGATCATGGATTAGGGATGGATTGAATCTATTTGAATCGCTTTTGTTTTATAGGCTATTTGTTCTCTTATTAAATTTCCATCAATGTTCGAGAGAGGAAACATAGAGCAGAGGCCTCTCTATGTACTACCCTAAAGGCCCATAGCGATTATTCGACTCTGATACATGCTATCCTTCATAATGGGGCGGTATCTGAGGTCCTCAATTCTATCTCTATTTATATAGTAGAAACAGCAGGGCAGTGTTTCTTCAGGTTTCGAATGCCCTTAAAACTGCAAGACCTGCAACAGAGGAAGAAGCAACACGGTTGTGGCCTTAGATTAACTCGATATTAGTGATCATGAAGCATGAGAAGATTCATCAAACACAGCATCCACATACCTCCATATCTGATACGCTCCCATCGTACCTTTTTCAAAACCTGGACTCCATCTGTGCCGAAGAACCTGTTCTCCCAGACTTGGATCTGGTTGGAGCTGCCGATTTCAGACTTTTCAAATGTTAAGGCCCCAGGAGCCCCTTCAATATTCTCGCCGGTGGCAGCAGCCCATACCCGACGTCCTTCGTACCAGGGAATATCTGCGTCATTCAAGGCATGCACGATCGTAAGATCCAGATCTTTCTGGGAATACTTCAAGCCGAAGGCATCCGGCTCGGAAATATTGATGCCTGCTAGGCGAGCGACCCTGCCGGCTGTATCCCAGTGATCCATAATATGACCGAGCACCCACTTTTGGAACCGAGGGTAACCAATCAACGGAGAGAGCATCGGTGGCGTGAAACCTTTGATACTATATGATTCGATTACATTGGTGAGACTGCTGAAGGATGCGAGGAGGATGACTCCGGCAAATGGCTCAGCATCTTTAATGGCTGGCTGGATGGCTGTCGGGTCGGGCGAGCCATATGCAAAGCGCTCGGCAACTGCTGCTGTGACTGCTGTGCCCAGGCTCTGACCCACGATCGCAATCTTTGATGTAGGAATTTTGAGCGGACCTGCAGTAAGGAAGTTGAGTAGGGATACACCGTCGGTTATGAGACCTTCTTCAGTAGGACTGCCGGTCGATACACCAAATCCGCGGTAGTCGATTGCAAATACATGAACTGGCTTGTCCGGAGTCGATAGGGCTAGTAGAGTGTTGTATCCATTTGGTCGATTGGCAGACCCCAGGTGAGCTGCATTCCCATGGACTTTGGGTTCATGAGATTAGACAGTGACGATTAGTGCCCAGGTTGATAGGACTTACAGCTCACCACAACTCTGGCGTTGGGATTATTAGCCAAAGTCTTATAAGCAACGGTTTGAGTGTAATCTTGTGCTGGGCCAGATGGTATGTTCTGCATCAGCTCCTCCTCATGTTCATGTACAAGATGTAGAGGCAGAAGATGCCAGCCATAAAGGGTTTCATTGTCAGGCGTCACCAAGTTGAAGGGCTGAACCTGAGTCTCTGAGCTCATGTCAATATCTCGATATATTTGACTTGCCTTGAACACTTACTTAGGAATCCAAATTGCTCGACCTGATTCAGATCTTGCCAGTAGCTTGGATTGAATTTATGGGCGTAGAGACAACTTTAACAAGGTCAGCAATTTGCGACAAACATTCGCATTGTTAAACTTACAAGCGCTGGACCTCTGGAAAAGTCAGAGCATAAATGAAAATGACATAGAGCAGACCACCAGCTGCTAGTGCCCAATAGGCCTTTTTGAAGATTGGTTTTAGCTCGACCATGATGCGGGTGTTGGTGGAGATAACAAAGTTGGCAATTTAATAAGCCTTATCGATGAACCCGCGACTATCGCGTCACGCTTTTTCCCCCTTCCACCTTTCCCGATCTCCGCGTCGATCACCATCGCGAGAGACTATGACGACCCATTAAGCTCGAAATCCTTCGTGATCTAGTTCTTTCCATCATGGCCGAGAAGCGCAAGCTCCCCGCTCGCGCTGGGCGCGAGCCCGCCAATAAAAAGCGTGTCTCCGAAGCCGCCGCACCTCAGTCTCATTCAAAGAAGAAGGCCGCAACGCCTCGTGCCCCGTCTCCGCCCCCTGAGCCTGTCGAGCCTCCATTGCCGTCAAAGATAAAAGAGGGCGAGCCTCTGCCGATTAGGCGAACAAGGCAACCAACCAACCTGTCGGACAAGGAGTACCAGTCCATCGCGGAAAGGTTTGATTTTTGATGTCTGCTGCCTCTTAAGTCAGAATACTAACCAGACTTGTCGTTCACAGCGCAGTGCTTCTCATATCCCTCGAACGATCCAAGAAGAAATGGCTCAGCGATGGCATTCTGGTTCGCTACTACACAAAACCAAAGAAGACCAAACGCGAACAGATTGAGAAACTCAACCCACCGAAGGAGTCCATGTCAAAGGTCGGCCTTTGTGATGTGACAATTGGTCCGCATCTTTTTGACGCGATGATATACACTGTTAAAGATCCAGCGGCACCACAGCCGATTCAATACACCCCTCCGCAAGGACAAGGACGAATGGTTCACTACGGTCCCCCAAATAACTTTCAGCAGTATCAACCACATCCCTCCAGCCAACAGCGAAGACCATATCCAACTGGCCCTCCCGGGCGTCCACAGGGCAATTATTCGCCTGCGCCCCGCGGTCCACATCAATCAGGCCATGCCCCTTCACCACAGGCTGGACAACGCCCACCACAGACCCAACCAGGACAGCCTGCAAAACCTAGCCCTGACCCCGTGATTCAGATGCTTGCCACCCGAGCTGCGGCTGACCCCGAGCTCAAAGCGTTGATGAGAGTTGTCGCATCTAGCCAGGCATCCCAAGAGCAACTCCGGGCTTTCCAGGCCCACATCGATGAGCTGAATGCTATAATTAAAGCGAGAGAGCCGCAGGAAAAGCGCCAACAAAGTTCAACTGGGACTCCGTCTCAACAGCCAGCAACTCCAGTTTCGCAAAATAAAGCGAATCCACCACCAAATGCATCTCAGCCCAAACCAGATTCGGGCGCGAAGGCCTCTCCAGAACAAAGCTCTAAGTCACCGCCTGTGGCTCCGACGCAAACGCCGTCTAAGGACGCTTCGCAAAAGCCGCAGGCGTCTGGAACGCCGGCAGTAGCACCGGTCAAGTCTCAGGCCGAGGGAACACCACAATCTGCAGTTCAGCCTCAAACACCGGCACCAATTCAAACCAGCCAACCATCCAGTACCCCTCAGGCCGCTGACCCCGCTATTAAGCAAGAGCCAACTGCAAAGGGGCCCACCAAACTTCAATCTGCGCCTTCCCAGCCAGTTTCGACTCCAGTCACAGCAACTGGCCCTGCCACGCCCGCTCCCACTACAGGCCCCCAGCAAAGCCCTGCGGTGCGTCCCACGCCTCCGAATTCCGCTCAGCTATCTACACCTCGACCGGGCCCACCTTATCCTCCCTATCAGCAACCAGCTTATGGCTCTCAGCCCCCACTGCAATCGCGTCCACCGCAGTACGGCTCACCAGCACCCTATTACCGCCCACCCGGACCTGCACCGACCCCTGCTCGTCCATCATACAAAGCTGTCGTTTTTGAATTCACGTCCCCTTTGACTCCATATGGAAGTGTTACCTCTGGTCATGCTGGGTCTGGCGATCGGTATCTTTTTCCGGAGTATTCAATCCTGGAATGGCTTCCTAATGAGGACACCATCCTAGCCTCATTTCTCATCACTAGAAAAGTAGACCCCAACGCCCCTTTCCCCATCGAGACTGCACCAGATCCCACCACCAGCCGTGGGAAGGGCAAAGGGACATCGAAATCGAAGAAAGGAGACAAGAAGGGAAAGGCCGAGAAAGGGAAAGATGGACCTGAAACGCCAGCTCCCAACCAAGCAAGCCCACCAGTACCAGCAGATGCTACGCCGAAAGTTGAGCCTTCTGAGAACACATCTGAACAGGCTGGGACTCCCGGTGCTACGAGCGAACCCGTCAAGGAGGTAAAACTCAAGGAATACTGGCAGCCGGTCACGTTCCGCATCCACGCCACTGACAACCGGATCCTTGATCCTTTGACTCGCGTTGTCAAACCGGCAGACGAAGTGCGTAAGTACATGAACGAGATCATGGATCGTGCCGAGCGTGCTCCGGATGGATTTTTGGCTTTTCGTCTTCCGCATGAGGATGCCCGGGAAGCTTTTGAAGCGGAGACCACACCCGCCTCGACCAATGCTGCCTCTGCTTCTCGTAGTCGCCCCTCTCGAGGTAGCACTTTTAAGGCGGTCGAAGAGGAATCTGACGTTGAGAATGCCCTTGATCTGGAAGAAGAGGAAGAGGAACTTATGGACTTCTACGGTGCACCAATGGATCTGCCACCATTACGAGCTTGAGTGGATTGTTCTTCATCAATATATACTATTAGCGTATGAATGCATAATTACATGAAATCAGATATCTCTCAGCTGATACACTATGCCCATCCAATTTTACTGCCCTTTTTCGGTTGCTATGGTGGATTAACTCAGTGATGTCGCCCGTCCTGGATTTATACTTACTCCAACAGGCCCCACCTCTGCCCCGCGGCAATCCCAATCCTAGACCGAAACCCTTCCAACTTTTGACCACCACAATCCACCCTCAACACCCTCGACACTCCTCAGGCCAAACCTCCAGAACACACGAAATGGCGCCGATCCCTATAACAATCGTGACCGGCTTCCTCGGCTCAGGAAAAACCACCCTCCTCCTAAACCTCATCCCCCAACTGCCCGCAACCTACAAACTCGCCCTCTTGAAAAACGAATTCGGCGACCTAGCGGTAGACTCACAACTCGCCTCTACACAATCTATCTCCGGTGTTCGCGAACTCCTTAATGGCTGCATATGCTGCAATCTAGTCGGCCAACTAAGCGATGCGCTCAACCAACTCCAAACCGAAGTCTCCCCCGACCGCATCGTCATCGAGACGAGCGGGAGCGCTTTCCCCGCCACACTAGCTATGGAGGTGAACCGGCTCGCACGCGAGGAAGGCGGAAACTTCGTGCTCGATGGAGTGATTAGCGTTATTGACGTTGAGAATTGGGAGGGATACGAGGATACGAGCTATACAGCGCAGATCCAGGCGAAGTATACGGATTTGATCGTTTTCAATAAGTGGGAGGACTGCGATGAGATGCGATTCGATATTTGTCTGGATCGCGTTGGTGATCTGGGCGTTCAAACGCCTTGGGTTAAGTCCGAGAAGGGACGGGTTGACGTGGATGTGTTATTGGGTATCGATGGAGCTTTGTTTGCGAAGGAGGCCGATCATGGTCTTGGTCATGGACATGATGATGAGCATAAACATGATCATCAGTCTGAAGTCGAGGTTTTGTCTGTTGTGTTGAAGGCAGATGGGTCGAAGATGGTGGATGTGCAGGCGTTGGAGAGTTTACTATCGTCTGCACAGAGGGATGAGGTTTATCGGATTAAGGGCATTGTTCGCTGCTCATCGCTGACACCTCTGGGGGAGACTTCGGATGATCTTGAGGCTTCCAGACAGAAGGCTGATGAGTCCGGAAGTCGGTACTACATTTTGAACTGGGCATTTGGTCGGTGGACTTGTACGCCGTCAACGGTCGTGGCTGAGTCTGCGGAAGAGGATGTTGTTGCTCGCTTGACATTCATCTTGGCTCGCTATGAGTCTGCCAAGTGGAAGAAGAAGCTAGAGGCGGGGGGTTTGGTGCAGGCCGTTGATGGTGCGGAGTTGACTGTGGAGCGATTGGTTTGATGATATAGAGTAGCGGAGCTGGCTTCGCTATACGTGATTTTGTATTGTAATTTAAGTCACATCCATTCGTATAGAAAAAGACTAAGAAGCACTTGAATTCAATTATCGTTCAAATATGAACATGCATACTATGCGCTCAAAAAACGAACCGCTTCGCCCTCTCCAGCTGCTGTCTCGACATTGGCGGCAAGCATCTCACGAATTACCTCAAAGAAAAAAGAAGCATGCATGTTGATCTTTGTGCACTCAACTTTTGATATGAGGCCTCTCTAAATGGATGCTTTCTAGTACGGTGTGATATGTACCTTTTTCCCTTCGCCTGTCTGGAATTTTCTGAATTGAGTCGCGGACTTAGCCTTAGTACCAAGAAAACCACAACGCAAAGTAGTCAATTACTTCATGAGACCTAAAGCCTTGTGGAACTTGGTGACGCATTGTACTAGCGCTAGAGGGCGATAAAGTGGGTCTCTCTCCCAAGCCTTTCTTTTGTCAACAAATCATTAGAGTAGGAAATGAAATGGAAATCATTGACAGCCGCAAACTATAGACAAAATCGTAGAAATAAAACCAGCCCTGATACCTGTCCAAGGGCAAGGAGATCCTCATGAATTGCATGACAGGTTGGCCGAAAGTCAGGAGGAAGCCATAAGACATTCTTGCCGCTCACGTTTACCCATTTTCGTTGTTCAATGTAGATCGCCGGATTTCTATAGATCACAATGGAAACATGGTTTACGTAACTCGACGGCACATCGAAGGTGCCGTTGTCGGTGATTAGATATGAGCAATCTTGTGTGAATTCGATTTTGAAGACAGCTCCCTTGGTGTTCCAGGTCTCTTGCAGGCCGCCCGTCGCCGTATCCCAGAGCCGCACGGTCAAATCCCTAGAGCCGGATGCTAGTGACCGGCCACCGGGCGAGAAGGCCACTGACTTAACCAAGTCCGAATGGCCCTTAAAGATCTGTTGTAGGTCACCCGTCGCCGTGTCCCAGAGCCGTATAGTACAATAGTACAACCATAAGACCCGGACACAAGTAGCTGGCCGTCAGGCGAGAAGGCCACAGAGTCAATCCAGTCCGAGTGGCCCTCGAGAGTCTGCTGTAGGCTACCCGTTGCCGTGTCCCAAAACCGTACTGTCTCATCATTAGAGCCGGACGCTAGGAACCGGCCATCGGGCGAGAAGGCCACCGAGTTAACCCAGTCCGAGTGGCCCTCGAGAGCCTGTAATTCTGCACTCCAGTATTGGTTAACTTGCGGGGTTTGACAGATCGAACTAGAAAGCTCTGACTGGAGCTTTGTATGGATTATTGCCGTTCGAGGTGCAAATACTAGCCCTGCGCAGTAGATTTGAAGTGGTGCTTCATCGGCTATTTGGAGATTTTTCAGAACAAAGCGCTTTACATCATAAAGGAAGTCCAAGATTGAGGAATACTCTTCCCTCTCCTAGTAATGTAAGTTCAAGTTACAGTATATATAAGTCTGTCTTCCAGACTTACCGATATGCTTATTTGGATAGTTTCAATAATACCAAGTATCTTCGACGTAAGGCCTAGTGGGCTCATTGCCTCCATCCAGTGCAAAAAATGCCGCTGAAGAAATAGGAACGCATCATGAATCACGTTATTCATATTTTGGCATTGAGCAAGACGATGACCCTAATAATGGCAGGCATGCTGCATTACAGCAGGAATGCAGTCATCGATTTTCCGACGATCAATCTCTGCACGATGTGTTCCATCACTTGGCAGTGCACATATATTCTTTCGCAAACTCTCACATATAGGAAGACATGTCATAGTTAGCTTATAGTGCAATTCCTTCGGGTCTATCCCAAAAGGGGTTTTCTCGCGTGTTTCGTGATCCAGGAGATAGTCTCTGAATGATTGATGGAATAGTCGCACCGGTTGAGTCGGATCTTCTGGTATGTTTAGCACTGAATGTAGCAAGTCCAGTCTCCGATCAATATGCTCGTTAGGCAGTCCAATAAACTGTGAAAGAGAGATGACTGAGAGTGGGCTCTCAAGCAGTACTATCGTGCCAACAATTTCTTGAAACTCGTGAACCAGTATCCTCTCTTTCCTCTTTGTTTGTCTTTCAAGAAGCCGATTAAGCACAGGGAAATATGTCGCATGGAACTCGGATCCATTGTTCTTCTGTGCGAGGATCTCTACCAGGCTCTCATTTGGGTCCCAAAGAGGGTCCTCAAATATACGGCAGGCAGTAGCGGCGAAGATGAATAAAGGGACTGACAAGTTCACGAGATTGCTGAAATCGGCATCTCCAGGCCAATTTTCGGGTAAAGAACGAATTTTCCGAATCTCGGACAGGCGGTTTTGCAGAAATAATGATATGTCATGCTGTATGACTGGTTCAGAAACCTCATGGAGTATCAGGTCTTCATGCTCACGGCTTGTGATGTCTGAGAACTCTTGGAGAATGAGCCACTCAGGCCTACTCGTAAGAAAGACTCGCAGATTTATAGCTTTTGATTTGCGTAGCTGCGATAATAAACGGACAATAATTCGCATCTGCTCATCCGGTTCGCCTTCGTCCAGTGCATCAATCACTATCACCATAGTTGGAGTCTGAAGACTGGTTGGTCTTAAACTTAGTAATGGGTGAAGAAGTAGTTTATTAAACTGTTCATTCAACGATTTTCCCGCAATGTCGGGTTCCTCATTAATGACTTTCTGGATAGCTGGGATCAGCTGAGGGATTGAAATCACCAGCTGCCCAGCAATTGTTGGGAAAAGCTTCATGGCGTTTCCATGGGCTCCTTCGCCCCTTTTGAAAAAGAAGCTAGCGCCTAGAATCTTCGACTCTTGGAAAAATTTCGCCACTGTTCGAGAAATTGTCGATTTTCCTGTTCCAGCCCTACCATTTAGCCAGAAAATCGTTTTTCTTATCGGCGATTTCGCCCATTTTGCGATCTAGGAAAGTAGTTCGGTTCGGGTGCCTTCAAGACATTCATCACGTTGATTGTCAGAAGAGTCAAATGCTGCTGCTTGAACTCCCGACAATTTGCCCCAATCAATCTTCTGGCCCAAAAATTCAACCATCGTTAGAACGGTCCTGTCCTATCTTAGTGATAATGCATTTTACCATAACCAACTAGATAGTATCCTACTTTTGGGTGTCGTTGAGATTATTCAAACACTGATTCACTAGATAGAATTTGTTAGTACGTAATTCGGATGAAGGTAATTTATATATATATATATATTGAAATTAAGTCACGAAAAAATCACGAAGCAAATAAAGTAGAATGGAGGGTCCTAACCTTGCTGAAGTTCTTGGCCCATTCGCTCGGCCCAAGGAGGGACAGCTTTACACTACTTGCCTTGACCTGGGCGTCGACTTTTGGCGCAACAGCGCGGCCGTCGCTCCAGTCCTGGGAGATGGTGTCGAGGGTTTAGTCGTGTCCCGCGAGTTCAGTGGGAGCACCCGCGTGCGGGCGCACCGTGGAATCATGCTCGCCAGCGGAGGGCTTGGAAGGTCTCCCTCCAGCCAGAAATATGTTCCTCACGAGTGGACGGCGGTACCACGAGGGAACCAAGGGGACGGAATCTCTATAGCCGCGCAAGCAGGAGCGCACCTACCGCCACCAAATAAGCAAAACGCCATCTCTGCACCCCTCTCACTCCTCCATCGCCCAGACGGCACGGTTTGGCGCTATCCCCATTTTGCCATCGACCGAGCAAAGCCGGGAAGCCTGATCGTTGGCCCGGATGGGAAGCGTTTTGCTAATGAGAGCGAGCCCTACCAAAAGTTCGTCAGCACGATGCACGAGCGAGGCATCAAACGCGCATTTTTCATCGCGGACAGGGCATTTATACGGAAATATGGCATGGGGATGGCTCTACCCTGGCCACTTCCTATTGGTGGCCTCCTTCGCCAGGGCTACCTGGTTCGCGGCTCGACTCTAGCTGAGCTGGCGCGCAAGATCGAAGTGGATGTTACATCCCTGCAGGAGACTGTGAGCCGCTTTAACGGGTATGCCCATACTGGTCGAGACGAAGAGTTCAAACGCGGCGAGAATATATACGACCGCTTCTATGGCGACGCGATAGTGTCGCCGAACCCCAGCCTCGCGCCTTGTATCAAAGGTCCATTTTATGCGCTCCCTCTGGTTCCAGGAAACGTCAGTATCATGTGGGGCGTTACAACGAACAAGGACGCGCAGGTTTTGGGAACTCAAATGAAGCCCATCCGTGGCCTGTACGCGGTAGGATGTGACCAAAATTCGGTCATGAGAGGTCAGTATCCTAGGGGTGGTTCGAGCATTGGCCCAGGGATGACATTTGGCTTCCGGGCCGCTGAACATGCGGTGAACAAGCATTCTTCATAGCTATCATGCATCTAGTTGAATTCCTTTGCGGCATATTTGTGCTTAGAGTCTCTAGGGACACGGAGTTACGCAGCGTCTTCGCTGACGAAGCCAGACATTTTAAGAGGCGAAAGACAGAGACTAATCAGTAACTGTTCGTTTAAGTCTATATGCTTTTCTTTTCATATGATCCTTACATGCTCAGAGACAGCGCATGCACCCATTATCTCACGTCTTCGCCCCCTGCTGCGGCTTGCAAGATGGAGGCCTGGCCCATGCAGGTGCCAGAAAGGTGGTCCGTGTTCTGAGCTAGTAGCCTTGAATGGTCACCAATAATTCTGTTTTGACATATCTGCTTAGTGAAGCTGCAGGGATCAGGGTCTTACCCCGCATCAAGGCTTACCTGTGATGCTGACATCCCTGCCAAGTGATATAGTGATTATGGACATGCGAGCTCAAGAGTAGAGCGTTTTAATGCCCTAGCCAGAAAGACTTATATGTCTCACCGAACAACCTCTGTGTCATTCATCAAGTTAGTTTCCCTTCACTCGAAATTTTGCCCGAATCACATTGACCAGCTTTTCATCAAGTTACTTCAACGGAGGACGATTCTAATCTGCACCATGATTAGCTCTAGCCTCTTGTTCATTTTGCTTCCATTGCCAGTAGCAGCCCTTTTCTTGCTCTCCAAGGCACTCAAGGTTGGCTCTAGGCCTGCCGGGTATCCACCTGGTCCGCCGACGGTGCCTCTGCTAGGCAACTTGCATCTTGTGCGTAGACCATCGACTTCGAAACGTCTGATTCTGATATACTGCTAGATGCCGACTTCCAAACCGCACCTTCAATTACAGAAATGGGCTAAGGAATACGGGTAACACTCTTCTCCCGCCTTGGAACAGAACTGTCTCTCACCATACTGGCAGACCCATCTATTCGCTAATCCTGGGCACGAAAACAATGATCGTATTGTCCTCCGACACTGCAGTGAAGGACCTGCTAGATAAGAGGAGTGGAAACTACTCGGACCGCCCGGACATGTTCATTGCGCAAAAGATCGCTAGTGGAAACCTTCGAATGGTCGTCATGGTAAGCTAGCTGCTGACCCTATCGAATACATAGATTGTTCTGACGTGAGCATAGAGATACGGCGAGAACTGGCGTATGATTCACCGGACGATTCACAGCTTTCTCAATATCAAGGCTGCTGTAAGCTATGTCCCTTATCAAGAACTAGAGAGCACTTTCCTCTTGGGAGATCTTTTGGATACCCCAAACGACCTTCTCCACCACGTTCGCAGATTCACACATTCTCTCTCCACCCAAATGATCTACGGTTATCGCTGTGTCAATAAAAACGATCCAAATCTCCGACAGCTATTTGAGGTAGGACCTTGCGCTTCTAATTCAATGTTAGTCATCCGTAAACTCGCAACTAATTCTCTCTAGGGCTTTGAAAAGTGGGGCGAGCTGGCGGGGAGTTCCAGCGCTCAGCTGGTGGATCTCTATCCATTCTTGCAGAAACTGCCGGACTTCTTGGCCCCAAATGTCAACTATGCTAAGGGATTATTTACAGTCGAGAGGAAGAGTTACGTTGGTCACTGGATGAAGTCAAAACAAGCGTTGGATAGCGGCAAAAGTCTAGTATGTTCATGCTGGTGACACTCAAGAGTATACCACGATTTAAAACTGATTGTCACTCCCAGCCTTGTTTTTGCAATGACATTTACCAGGCGCAAACGAGAGAGGGCTTCGACGATGATCTGGCAGGCTATATCTGCGGCTCATTGCTCGAGGCAGGATCAGACACTACAGCAGCCACTTTGTATGCCTTCGTCCAAGCGACCCTAGTTTGGCCCGAGGTACAACGCAAGGCTCAGGAAGAAATCGATCGCGTGGTTGGTCTTGATCGACTTCCAACCATGGATGACTATGAGAGCCTGCCATACATTCGCTGGTGTGTCAAAGAAAGTCTACGATGGATGCCTACGGCCATTCTTGGTGTCCCGCATGCTGCGCTCAGGGAAGACAAGTATATGGGCTACACAATTCCGCAGGGGGCAACAGTAATTAATAATGTCTGGTAAGTAACTCTCGTCTTGATGACCTTGGAATCGAGAAAATACATCCAAGAGATTTGAGTTAAACATGGATTAAAATAGGGCTATTCACATGGATCCTGATCGGTCCGACGAACCTCGAGTCTTCAAGCCGGAACGGTTCATAGGCGACAACACCACCCTCTTTCAGTCTGCGATTGGTGACACGAAGAAACGTGACAACTTTGTTTTTGGAGCTGGCCGCCGCATGTGCCAGGGGATTCATATTGCGGAGAGATCTCTCTTTTTGGGCATTTCGCGCCTCATGTGGTCTTTCAATTTCTTCCCTATCAAAGATTTCAAGTACGACATTGAAGACCTTGTTGGAGGTCTGACAGTCCAGCCAAATGAGTATCCGGCCCACGTTGAGCCTCGATCTATGGACAAGGTAAAGATTATCAGAGAGAGCGTGGCGGAGTGTGAGAAGCTCCTGGATCCACATACTCTTCAGTGGAATAGCGTGCCTGCGGGCATGGCGTTCAGCACTTGGATGCCAGATAACACTGCGACCTAGAAGCTCCAATGCCCTGATATTCTGACCGACTATCAATCAGGATGGCGCCGGAGCTACTTTCAACCAATTACGCAATACCCTGCATTCGGAAGGGCGACGTTGGTGGCCGCTTCAAATTTTACTTAGCTCAGCAAATCAGAGCCGTGCCAAAGCAACCTTACAATCATTCATGGGTCTATATTATAAGAGAAAAGGGAAACTATACCTCCGAATCAAATTAGGCGTGGTGATTAGAGATAAGGGGAAAGAACAGGCGCTTGCAAAATCATTTAAAGATATGGAGGACAAAACATCTCAGACACCCGACCATGTTGGGCGAGACGGGAAGGAATTTCAGTCCTAATTGCGAAGAGGAGCCTTTTTCGGCGTCAATTTGACAGGTCCTCTAATCTATATGTAGTTTCTATGGGGTAGACAACTGATAATACCTTTCCAAATAAGAACATCCCACGAGTACTGGAATCACAGAGCATGCAGAAGGCACAAATGGTACAAAGAAATGCAAGGATCTTAGAAAGCGAGTGAAAAGACTCAGAAAGCGAGCGCAGGCAAAAAGCAAACTGGATTAGGATCGAAAAACCACCAAGTCAAATCTCTAAAGTCTAACTAGCTCTATGACGCACAAATGCAAAAGCTAAGTATACCAAGTAGACCGTCCAAGGCAATGGCAAACAAGGATATTTTCAATCATAAAAACAAACACAGTAAACCCGAAAAGGCGTAACAGTGAGAAACTATAAATCAAACAAAATCCAAAAAGTCAAAAATCAATAGTTGAGCAGGGCAGAAGCACCAGGCTCGCTCGAGGTGTAGATAACCTCGTGGTTGTCGGAGAAACCATTGAAGCGAGTGGCACTGCACTTAGTGTAAGCGCCCATCTCCTCGAAGTAGAGCCAGTCACCAGTATTGAGGAGACCAGGCAGATCAATCCGCTCACTGATCACATCAATACCATCGCAGGTGGGGCCCCAGATCGAGTAGGAGATGTTTTCCGAAGTCGCAGAATTCGGAGTGCCCTGCTCGGAGTTAGCCGCAGACGAAAGGATCTGGGCAACGGGGTGCTGATGGTCGAAAATGATATTCGAAAAGTTGCCGTAGACACCGTCGTTGAGGTAGATCATGTAGGCGTCGCGGGAAGGATCTAGTGGGTCCGGGACATCACGTCGAGCAATGATGTTGGCTGCCAGGGTAAAGGCACTGGCGACGTAGTAGCGACCGGGCTCAGCGATAATGCGGACATTGGGCGGGAAGTAGGTCTCCAAAGCGTCGCCCAGGATGCCTGAGAATTTCTCGAAAGTATCCTGGCAGAAACCACCACCGACGTCGAGGGTGTGCAGCTCGTGTCCAATCTCCTCGGCCTGGTCAAAGACCAGACGAGCATCCTGCACCGCCTTAAGGAAAGCACGGGGGTCCTCGGCGCCCGAGCCGACATGGAAGCTGACACCGACAACCTTCAGTTCGAGCTGGTAAGCAAGCTGGAGCAGCTGTTGGGCCACATCCAGGGAAGCACCGAACTTCATGCTCAGTCTGCACAGACTGGTCGAGTCGTCGGTCAGAATACGGAGGTAGAGTTCTGCCTCCGGGAAATGGGTCTTAATCTTGTACAGCTCGTCGGCATTGTCGAAAGTCATCTGCTTGACACCCACCTCCTGGGCGTAACGGAGGTAGGACTTGGTCTTGCACGGCTGGGCATAAATGATTCGGCTAGGATCGATACCCGTCTGAAGGGCAAGATCGATCTCGGACTTGGAAGCACAGTCGAATCCATTGCCAAGCTGGGCCATGAGACGAAGAACCTCAGGGTCTGGGTTGCACTTGACAGCTGCAGGGGCCAGTTAGTCGGGGTCCATGGGAGCAGCTGACGGGGAACACCTACCATAGAAAGGCTTGACACGGCCCAAGTTCATCTTCCACTGCATATGCTGGCGATACACCTCGCCCATATCAGCGACATAGAAGGCATCCTCCTCTCCCGCTCCACAGCGGTCCACATCCACCTCGGCGGCCCGCTTCTTCAAGATATCAAGGACCAGGTCCTTGGCAGCCAACCGAGATTGCAACATTTCCTCCCCATGGTTGCTGATCACACCAAGATTGTCACGACAGATGTCGTTCTTCATGGTGCATACCTCAGCAGGTGTAACACACGCAGTCGGTGCCATATCCGTACAGCTGCGACTCAGCACGGAAACGGATTTAAAAATTTGGTATAAAAAAAGAAAGTAGATGTTTTACGCGACTGCGCGTTAGGGAGGACGAAAAGTGTCGCAACCGAAGTTGACTGGACCAAGCCTCCTAGACCCTTCCTCCTTAAGAGGAAGAACCTTCAGAGAAGTCCTATGCGGCAGCTCTAGGTTTGAGGGATTATCGTGGGGCGTCAACGGGGTGAAAAAAGGCGCACCCGACGAAAGCTCAGCGAGAAGCAGGAGGTGGAATGTTGTTAAGAGTGTCCCGGAGACGTCGAGTGGATACAATTTGGCTGAGAAGCACAAATGAGGCTGGAGCCGTAATGCCGGTGGTGCCTTAGCTGAACCTAAGGCAGGAGAAGAACTGGAAAATGGACACGATCTGTGACGCTACCATAAGTTAGTCAACCTGGAGGGGTAGACCAAAATAAAATATGAGTGAAAAAAAATCAACGGTTGAGGGCTGGGGGAAGTTCAGATTTTTTAACTTCCTCCCAAGGCGGTGTTTAGGGCATAAAGGATAGACACAAAGGGTATGGTGGTAATAAAATCACGCACTGTGACACACCAATGACCATCGAGTTCACCAAGGTACAAGAACAAGCAAAAAATCAAAAGTACTCACCTAGATGATCCCAAACACGAGGAGAAAGGAGGAGGAAAGTCTTTCTCTGGGGGGAAAAAAAGTATGGAACTGCTTACGGCATCCAGGCCCAGGGTTCTAACGTTCCCGCAAAAAGAGTCCACACACACAAAACTGGGATCTTCCCCCCTCTGAGACCCATTTTTTTCCTACCTATCCACTATGCGCGATTTCTATACTTGATTTTCTTGTTATCGAGATATACGGTAGCCCATGTACCATATGCATGTACGTGCGTGCCTGCGTATTGCATACCGCAGTGGTAATTCTCGGCAACGATTATTCTAAAAAAAAAAAACATGCGGTGTAGTCATCCCTGTTAATATTATGTAGCCTAGGAGTCTTTCTTAGTGGACGATGATATGTATGGCTCGCATACATAATGTGCGCATACACAGGTCCGGGTGAGTAACCACGACAGAAAAGCTAATTCCTTGGAATTAAGAAAAATCTTACAAGGTAGAGACGGGATTCCCAAAACGTTCCGGCCAAGTGGTAGAACAAATTGATGAAGCTCGGCCCCGCGCTAACGCTAACAGGGGCGAGAACCTCCGGTATGACGCACCAGTGGGTTTGGCGCACGGACCGTCTTGTAAGCTCCGCTCCGGTCAACTTACACTATGACACGTCGACATGTTCACGGCGGTAGCAGTACAATTCAATTATATCGCTTTGGTCATGCTGTGATGGGAGCGGGACAGTAGTCTGTTGGGCAACAAATGCCGCATCCTTCATCAAATCGAAAAAGACGGCTTCGCTTTCGTGCCGCCGCTTCAAGGCCACCAGAACCAACGCGTCCGGGGAAGTCCGAACCAATCGGTCTAGTACTGAAACTAAGGTAGGCAAGCTGTCTGCATTGTAGGTACAGTCGGAAACAAGGATCAAATCGATGGGTTGGCTGCAGAGGTCTGGTGGCGGCTCATCCCAGTCAAGAGTTTGATATCGGACCGACGAGGTTGGCTTGAGATGGGCTTCATCGATATTGCGCATCACGATCTTCTCAACCTCAGGGAGATCTGTGAGGAGCACGTTGCACTGGTCACGCATTGTTGCTAGTGCAATGCCCACAATACCACACCCAGCGCCCAATTCCACTGCCTGAAGTGCCGAGCCGCGTGGCTTAAGCAGCTGATTGAGACTAGGAATGGCTGTGGCAGTGCCGCTAATAGACTGGTTGAGGAAAATGATCGATGCAAGTGCCGCATCCCTGCATGATTGATTAAAAACAATGTTAAAACCACCGAATTGGAGAGACTACATAATGCCACTCACCAGATGTGTCGGGCAATGCTATTGCCGGTCTCTTCCCATATTTTAAGTGATGGGATGGATTTGCTGTTTGTAATGCTGAATTCTCGCTGGATCAATTTCTCCGCTGGCTCTGACTGCCACTTGAAAGGAGCACTACAACCCGATATCACCAACGGTGTGGTGTCGACCCCAAGTGTATCTTGCGGGATATTTTGGGTCCGAATCTGGAAGACTGCGTCTTGTTGGGAGACATGGTCGATTGAATATGGTCCCATAGAGATCGGAAGTTGTCGCGAGCCAGCTTGCCATTTAAGGGTACTCTGGTCAATAGTTTCCCGGGGTGAACGCTGGGTCCAGGTTGCCACTAGATCCACATCTGCTGCAAGGAAATCATCCCCGAGATCAGTGGTGATGCAGATGAGGGCAGTGATAAAGACGGATTTTTTCTGCTGTGGTCGGGACAATTTTGCATTTTTCTTTTCTTGATGAAACTTGGGGGGCTTTAAAAAGCGAATGTAATAAACCATGGTCCATATAATTCTTTGGATTCTCAGTTCCCTATGCTTCAATTCCAATTTATTTTCAATTTTCTTTTTTCTTTTCTTACCCCAGACCCTGGTGCCTATCACGTGTATGCTGACTAACCCAGTAACCAGATGACATCGTTTGCATACCCCAACCATTGCGCGGCCCTGGACCTCACGTTTCTCCCCCCTTACGATGAATTGACTTCCGCCCTTTCCGGTTTCTCCTGCTCACCACGATCGTGCTGCAAGATGATGCGATCGCGCGATCCGCGCATCCGGCAGCGGATCAACCAGATCTCCCATAACATCGAGTCCGCCAACGAGACTGCCCAGGAAGGACTATACGCTTTTTCACAAAATTACTTATCCCCATGCGTCGCCTCCATTGGGAACTGCATTAATGGATGTACTGCTCCTTGTTTCCCAAGCCGGGAAGATCAGCTGAGGCGCCGGCGCCGGGGTCAGGCCGAGGCCAACTTCGATTTCTACGATGACTGGGATAATGACGAGGAGGAAGATAGCTTGCTAGGATGGGGCACGGGAGAATTGGATCGTCTTCTGGCGGGCAGTGGGTTAACTCGAAATTCAACTGAGCAGCCACGTCGGCCAAGGAGGATGAGCTACGGTACACGTAACACAAGACGGAGGAGTGCAGTACATATCCCGGATGATCGCAGCGACCCCACGGTCATCCCTAGCTCTTCACTGATCGGATTCCTGGAACGCTTTCCCTGGAGGTTTGGGGCGAAAGGAATCAAGTATCGTCCCTCCGCGGCGGACTTGCAAGAACACCCGGGCAGCTCGAGACGCTATGCACATGAAGATGAGCCATTAATGGAAGCGACCGAGGATGAAGGAGGCCCGATATCTTACAATGAAAATAGAAGAAATCGAAGCGAGACTGGGTCATCTCGCGACACTTCCAACTCTCTTAGCTCTCGTGGTGATCTATTACCGAGTGATGAAGAAGAAGACGCAGTTCCGCTGGACGATGAATTTGCTCTTGTTTTCGGACGTCGTGGGACTGGCTTGGAGTCAGATGACCAGGGCTCGAAATCAGAAATGGTGAGATCTGCTTCTGGTACGTCCAGTTTAGGGGATGCATCTTCCAAGAAATCAAACCGCAAAAAGAGAAAGAAGCGTTCATCCACAAAATCACCAATGAGCACAGATCAAGACAACCTCCATGGCTTGAATACCCCATCAATGGCGGATCTGCAAGTCGAGAAAGATCAGGCGGCACATGAAGAATTAACGATCAAGAAAAACCGAGCTGCTGCACAAGAACTGGCTGCTAAACGGGGTCTTCGTCTTGATCATAACCACCAGGTATATGGCATTCCGGGAAACACTCCACATTGTAAATAGACACTGACTCTATTTACAGCCCGCAACAGCTACATCACCCTCAACGGCAAGGGAACAAATACCTAGACCTCTTTCCCAACAAAGCCTCTTGCCGATGGGCGAACAGCAAGCTGATTCTACCGATCAGAGGTCCATCGGGTCATCTATTCGACGGTTCTCGGGCGAACAAACAGAGCCATTCCCGCCATTCCTGTTACCAGAATCTCCTAAGACCACATCCAAACCTAACTCCATTAATGACCCTAATAACGGGGTAGATCTGGCTGGTGAATCTAGTCGCCACAATGCTGACATCTCGTAAAGCTCGCTCTTAGCTTTTGCTGAAAATGATGCCATGAGATATGCTCAGTGGATCTACCACTTCCACGCACGACTTGATGAACATTATTTTCGATGTACCTTATACCCCACCAATGCTAATGCAATATGTTGATTGCAGCTTTCAAGTCTTTCTTTTCGAACAGTAACTGGTACTTAGTGAAGCACTGAAAATGATAGTCGATAGAATTGCTCCCCCAATCGGGGATTTGCTAGACCATTGCATGCGGAACCGCCTGGGATTAAATAGCTGTGAGCACTGCCAGTAACAATCAAACCATTGTCTCCAACATCCTCCCCACTCAGGTGTCACATTGTTGGTCCCGGCCGCCGATATAAATGTCAATCGCACAAAGCTCAACTAACTTTCTTTTGTATTCCCGGTGTCAACAACCACTATTCATTTCTCCTATTACAGCAACGTATTTCCGACGTGCTACATACTCCATAATGGCCAAAGCCAAGACCGAATCCGATTTGCGAGCAGCTCTTACCAAAGACAAGGATCTGCGCAAGCTACCTTGGTATAAAATCGATTTCGCAGAGGTGCCCGAACCTTCGAAGACCATTCTGGGGAAGTATAGCAAGGTCCCACCGGATCAAATGCTGCAGCATGTGAAGGATGTGGTTAGTTAAGCTTCCATCTTAGCACCAGTGCACTAATTTACTCTTAATCTTATCTTTAGCGGGAGCGCGCTTTCGAAGTAGTAAGTCTATCCCTACTCGGTACCCAGAAGAATTTGATTGACTACTCTCATGCCGTGTTCAATGCTAAATTTGGGTTGAAACCTAGCTACCCTATCCTTGTATCGGTTTATTCGGGTTCCTGGACATGAGCATTCCCCAGTTACCAATCTACCCTGAGATTCTCCAGCGATTAAAATCAGGCCAGAAGCTTCTGGATGTGGGCTGTGCTATTGGCCAAGAGCTACGGCATCTGGTATGTACATGTGTACCTGGTCCTTCCATCTAAGATTTATTCGGCAATTCCCAGCTATAATACAGTTTTCTAATCCAAATCAGGTCTACGATGGCGTCCCATCTGAAAACATCTTTGCCTCTGACCTCCACGAGAAATTCTACGAAATAGGGTACGAACTCTTTGCAGACCGTGAAACCCTCAAATCCGAATTCATCGCAGCGGACATTTTCGACGAAAACTCTGATCTCGTGAGAAACCTCACGGGTAAACTGGATATCGTCAACGCTGCCTCGTTCTTCCACCTGTTCAATTGGGATCAGCAAGTTATTGCCGCCAAACGCATTGTCAGCCTGCTTCGTGCGCAACCTGGATCACTTCTCATTGGGCGCCAGGTCGGATGTTTTGATCCCGTTGATCCTGATGTTATAAATAAGGCATCGGAGCATTATTGCCATAATTTGGAGACGTGGAAGAGGCTTTGGTTACAGGTGCAGGTAGAGACAGCAACGGAGTGGGAGGTTGACGGGGGGTTGGATGGCTGGGCTGCGACTAGTGGTAAGATTATCGGTTTCCATGGGAGTAATCCCATTAGATTTTGGTTTGTTGTGAGGCGGGTTTAGATAGATGTCTTGGAATGGACTACGAAAAGCGTATAGGTTGGTTCTGGCTCATGATTCCTGTAGCGTTTCTCATTTACAATAGATTTGATGCTTCCTTCATTATAATATTGAGGTATATATTAATCTGCGTCATTCCAAACTGCGTTCACTCCAAAGGACTGGGCACTGTTGTCTAGTAAGCCCGCGTAGGGGACAGGTAGGCCGGCGGGCACCTGACCAAGTGATTTTTGATTATGTGAGAACGGGGTAGAGTCCTCGAACAACCAAGGCGGGTTTGCAAGGGACATGATTTCATGATCAAAGATCGTCCAAGAATCATCGGCACTAGGACCCGGGAACACCAATGCAGAGCTTGTGTCTGGTGGGGTATGCATGGCCTGCACGCTGTATTCGAGGCGCTGTGAAAGAACAGTGTGTATACTTGCCGTTGATTGAGAACTACGCTCTAGACTTTGAAGGTGGACGTGAATGAGGTGCAGGTCTAGAAATTGTCAGAATGGAATCCATATGTGTAGCTGAGAACTTGTACCGTCTTGGTGTGTCATGCCATCTTCTACCCCACGTAAAAGCAGAATAGCAGCCCATGTTATCATCTTATTCGAAAATTAGCAGTACTCATGGAAGAGATCTGAAAACCACGCTTACTATCAGATCCCAATTCGACCAAATGCTGGCATCATCTTGGCGCAGTCTTAATACTGCTCGTGCTGATACCAGCAGCTCATGTCTTTCCACGGGACTAATGTTTGCTGAGCTAATATTGAATCCTCGGGCAGGATGATATATAGACAATACATAAAGTTTGTGCAAATGGTATTGCAACAAGATCAAAATGCCCTGTTTATCGGATGGAGATGGTTCTAAAACGCAAATCTTCGGTCAGGAACCGATAAATAATTATCCCAGGCCGTTCAAATACTCACGGGATGCCCCATTATACCGAACAAGCCAGTCATCAAGCTTTCGAGCCCAAAGACGAATAATCTCAGAGTCCCGCTCTGTAAAAGGACTCTGAACGACCGGGGTATAGTCAGATATCTCTGCATTTATTGAGCACCAAATTGTCGGTAGACCTCTCCCCACAAAGTGGCTGAGGCCGAAGTGCATCATTTCGGCCAGACCTTGAAAAGCATTTCCTTGGTGGCTGTCTAGACGCTGGATACCAGGGGTCAGTGGTTGGCGGGGAATGAGAGGATAGGACATGTGTATTGATGCATGTTCAATATCTATGACCTAGGATCATCAGTATAGTCGGATGACCAGGTTCAGAAGATAACTCACTTGAAGGCCGGAGAACAAACCACGCCAATCTAGTGTTGAGGCTTCCAGATCCAAGGGACAGTGATCTAACCAGAGCCGGTATCCCATTGCGATCCATAGGCCGGTCGTTGCAACATAAGCTTCGGAGCTTAGACTTGCCATGATCAAACCAAGGATATTATGAAATGCTTCGCGCTTCAGAACATCTGGTGATTTCTTTTCTGTCATAGAAACAGGACTCGGGTTTGAACTTGAAGATGCCAGTTCGGCTATTGCGCAGCAAATTGCCGTAAAATAGCCCGCTTCTAAGGATGCCATCTCGGATGATTTGTGGTGGAGGGCGGAGATGTAGAGGACAGAAGCTAGTAATAGTGGGGTCGGAGAATCAAAGGCATCTCGATCTTTTAGGAAGTGAAGGAGTGGTAGATTGTTGAGAAATCTGTGGATCCGATAGCTATGAGCTCGTCTTCCCAGAAGACTACAAGAATGCCGGGTCAACTTACGAGGTCCAAAGGCACTTGACATTTGGTTTCGACCAAATAGCCTCCTCCTGTGCTGGGCGAGTAATAGACTTTAGGTGAGTAATAGCGCTCCATGCTCCTTGTATAGATATTTGTTGGCAATCTTTCTCTCCTGGTGAGGCTGGAGAAACAACGGAGTCCTCTTGAGCATCTCGGTCTATGCCCAAGACAGTTTCAATTCGATCTAATCGGTCCAAAACAGATTGATGGTCACGCATTGCGGGATGTATGTTGAGCAAGTCTGCCTCTTCAAGTTCAAGCAAATCATGAAGTGCAGAGGCCTTGACAGCTGGTAAGTATAAATGGACATCCAAGGGTTGTACATGTAGTCTGCGTTCCAAAGTGACAATGTAAAACATACGTTGGCCCGAGGCTTGAAAACACAAGCATTTTGAGTATGACGGCATCGACGACAAGGCGGAGCCCCCGAGACTTCACATTTCATCTAAAAGAAACTTTTAATGCATGGTCACTGGAATATATCCGCGTAGGTTATACCTTTAGTCGCCGACAATTGACTGGCCGCGAATTTAGTAATATGCCTCATAGGTATCGGTTATTGTATGACTCACCACAAGCCTTTGTCGGCTTAGGTCCTCGAGCTGTTCTGGCCTGTTTGTTCATGGTGTTTGGCGTTACATTTACATCTGGAGAAGGACGGATGGTTGAAGTCCGTGCTACTTCTTATCTGCGGGGACTAAGCGGGCCCGCTTATGTGTTATCAGGGGTTTGTTTCTAGGATCCGAACACGTCCTATGTCAGATTACAAGTTTGCTTGGGGAAAATCTTTGGAAATTGAGGCTGAAATGAAGTGTCTGCCACGTGCTTAGTATAGTGCATTAATAGTGCCCGCTACCGAGGACCGGATATACTATGGCTTTACCGGGCATCGAGGAAAAGAGTACCCGTGAATATCAAAAGCTGGGAGTTGGCCTTGATATTCAATGAAAAAAGTGTCAGATTGAATGGCTCTTGAACCATTTTGATAGATGCATGTTCATAGATTGCAAACTACATCGTGCTTGGTGCCTGGTTAGTACAATTGATACTTGAATACTGGCTTTGTCTGACTAAGAGATAAAACGCCTAAATGTTGTGAAGATACCTCAATATGTGTTCACCTAGGCAATTCAAGTGAGATCCCTCATGTATTAACTAGGGTAAAAGAGCTGGTGTGTCAGAATGGCTCGAGAACATGACCTCACAACCGGAGGGCATCGGACTTATGTCAGCCGGAGTAGGAGCACTCCCTCATATAAATGAGGAACTTGTGGACAGACGAGCCCTTGTGTAGTATTGAAGATTTACCCTTTGAAGATCAGGCAAGACCAAGCTAGCCAAGTAGGTAGTGGAAGTGGTATATCCAGTGTGGCTGGACGTGCGGCTGGGTCGATGACTAAGGCTTCCCCCTCGTCGAGTTCTCTTCCTCCGAAGGAGCCATTGACCTCCGCCTAAACAGGAAAGCACGGCGAATCACTATTAACTTGCCCCAGAGGTGTTGCTCTTGACCGGGCCCCGATCTGCCTCTGGGACCTCTTCACGTCTATCCTCTCCCCCGATTGAACCCGCACCTCCCCCCCTCCGAGTGTACCCATCCCGAACCTGCACAATTTTTCGGCTTCATACCGGCCACGCGACCACTGTGAACCCCTATCGAGCCCTCCTCGGATTCGCAAGACCCCGTGTACCCCGCGCAGCATGTCGTCTTCCGCCATGGGGAAGAAAAACAACAAAGGGAAGAAAGCCACCGATCCCAGTGAGACATCCAAACTACTGGCTGCCAAGATCTCGCAGTTGGAACAGGATGCCGTGGGCGAGAAGGAGCAGGAAGCAGAGATTGGTACGTGATTTCAGAGTATGCGCGGAGTTCCTCGCGATCTCCAGCTTGAGATTACAAGGGCACTTGCATACGTGTTTCGTGTGGAGGCTGGACTTGGTCACTGACTTGGTATACACAGAGCGCGAGGTGAAGAAGGCGACTCGAGATCTGAACCAGCTTCTCAATACCATGGAATCCCCAATGACTCGCCTGGAGGCCGTTTCCAAGAAGTATACCGAGCTGCTAGCGGATATGAAAAAGTTGGACCGGGACTATGCGAAGAGCAAGAAACGCGCCGACCAACTGCAGAAGGAACAGGAGAAAGGCAAATCGGAATTTGGGAAGACCGTCACCATGAAGGACAAGCTGGAGAAGCTGTGCCGAGAGCTGACCAAGGAGAACAAGAAAGTTAAGGTAGGAAAGCCAGACCTCTGGAGGCCGGTCTATTGCGCATACTGAACTATTGCAGGACGAGAACAAGAAGCTCGATGACACAGAGAAGAAGGCCCGTTTGATTGTCAATGAACGACTGGACTCTTTGCTCTATGACATTCAAGATGTCATGGCTGCCAAGGGGAATCCTCGTAATGAGAAAGTTGATGTGGATCTGGATGAAGCGTACGCCTTTCCCTCGCCCAGTTGCAGCAGTTGTAGTTTTAACTTACTAACATGTGAATTCTAGACTCCGTGTAAAGCTCAAGACCATTAACGAGCAATTTGACACCCGCGAGCTTCATTACAAGAGTCTCCTTCGTAGCAAGGACTCGGAGATCCAGAGCCTGACTGCTAAGTATGAAGAGCAGCGCCGAGCTGCCGACAATGAATCTGTTCGCGGCCGAGCTTTGAGTGCGCAGGTCTCTACCTTCTCCCATACGGAAGCAGAACTACGCAGTCAGCTCAACATCTACGTAGAGAAGTTCAAGCAGGTACGGAAACCCTTACATTCTTGTGCTGGTGGTTGAGTTAACGAATAACAGGTTGAGGATACATTGAACAACAGCAATGAGCTTTTCCTGACTTTCCGGAAGGAAATGGAAGAGATGTCTAAAAAGACCAAGCGTTTGGAGAAAGAGAACCACACTCTCAACCGGAAGCACGAATCAACCAACCGCAACATCCTAGAAATGGCCGAAGAGCGTACCCGGAATCACGGAGAGCTCGAGAAATGGCGACGCAAGTGTCAACATCTTGAGGCTCTGTGCCGTCGCATGCAGGCACAAGGCCGCGGTGAAGGATTAGCCGAGGGCGACGATCACTTGGAACATGACGACGAAGGCACCGAGAGCGAGTATGATGATGATTACGAAGACGAGGAAGACTTGAGCGAGGAAGGAGAGCTCGACGAGCATGATCGCACCCTTTCCCACCCTGCCGAACGGCCTGTCTTTGGTCCACCTCCGCCTCCTAGTCTTCTCGAGGCCCGAGCCTCCAAGAATGCCGTCTTGAACGGTTGTCATTGATAAATGCTCTGTGTCCTTTCATTTCGACCTGTCTATGTTACCGAATTCTTCGATTTTGTGATTTGAGGCGGTGACATGACTACTACTCTCTTGTGCCCCATTGCTGTTCGAGGAGATTGATTTATCAACCCCTAATGTACTAAGATACGGAATAGACTTGATTATGGATGACTTGCAATGGGAAGCGGGCAATATGATTTGTTGATATTCTTCAGAGCATATCTGTTGCCCATGACATGCGCTTCTAGGGAATTTACCTCTGTTGGTATCGGTCACCATGGGTCAACTGGTTCATTCAGATCCAAATGTTTCTATACGACTACGCGCCATCAAACAATCAAGAGATATCCACTAGTACAACCAAACATATCTGATTCATTTATAGCTTACTCATCTGCCCATTTCCAGTGATATACGAATTGCCCGTCTTGAGAACATCCACGGCCTGCTGAACCATCTCCTTAACAATCACACCAGCCGGTTTAATCTCCTTGACACCCGCCGACACATCTCCCATCAGGAAAGGCATATCAATGTCCTTCTCATTTTCCAAATCATGCATCATTGGCACAATCCCCTTCGCGGTCAACTCGGCAATATCAGCAGGCCGATTCTCCCACTCCTTAATGTAGTCATTAGGCAACATGCGCAACGGCCGCCCAGAAACAACCAGCGTTCTCTTAGTCTCCCCATATTTCGCCCCAACAACGGCCTCCTTGTGCAGACGACTCGCACCACTCTCTTCCGAAGCCACAAACCGGGTCCCAACCCACACACCCGACGCACCAAGCATCAAAGACGCCGCAAGACTGCGCCCATCATTCACTCCACCAGCGGCAACAACCTGCGCCGGCAACCCTGTCAACGGACTCTTGTACTTCTTTGCAACATCAACCACAGCAGGAATAAGCACCGAGAACGGAATATCACCGGTATGCCCACCTCCCTCACCACCCTGCGCACAAACAATATCAACTCCACGCTGAAACGCCTTCTCCGCATGCTTCGGCGCCCCGACCATATTCATGATTAGTAGCCCCGCCTCATGGAGTCGTTTAACAGTCTTCTCGGGCGGGATGCCAACAGCGGAAACGAAGAGCTTCGCGCCGTGCGAGATCGCAACTTCGACTAGCTCGTCTAGCTGTCCGTGTGTGTAGTCGTGGTTTGTTGCGCGTGCGCCTCCACCTACCTGGGGTAGGGCAAGATCTACACCGAATGGTAGTGATGGGTCGCGGAGTAGCGATTTCAGCTCCGTTAGCATCTCCGATAGTTGCTCCGGTGTGTAGCCTAGTCCGCCTACTGTGCCGAGGCCGCCTGCATTTGAAACTGCAGCGGCAAGAGGAGCACCAGAGGCACGAGCCATGCCGGCAAGGAGGACTGGGTGTTGGATTTTGAGGAGAGTGCAGAGGGGCGTGTGGAGAGACATGTTGGCGGAATTGGAGTTGTAGTCACGGTTATTCCAGATATGAGAGGTGAGAAGGTTGTAAAATTTCAGATTATAATGCTCGAATGGGATGTATAACGCGAGTCTCGTCAGGTACTTGGATACAGGTTATGGATCTTTGGGGTATCTATGATTTTGGGTCGGGGTTGAAGAAGAATGCGGGGAAGCTGCTCAGCCGGACCGAGGCATGTTCATTAGCTTATGAATGCACATTTCATACTGAGCCCTGGCAAAGATAGTAATGGCCAGCCTCGTGCTCTGTTGGTAATTAATTTGAAATTTGTGCATCATTTTCCACACTGTCTTGTGCCGATACCATATAGCCGACTGAAGTTCTACATTGACTTACCTAGCTTATGTGGATCTTCAGGCTTTTCCCATTGACTACTACTAGCCAACAGCTCGGGAAATTCCTTGCTATGGTAGAATCATGCTGTAACTACTAGCAGATTGGATTTCCAAACAATACTATCTACCATTGAGCCTCTAAAATACGAGGGTAAAGTGCAGAAACGGCCCATGCTGACTATTCTGTACGACAGGAGCAGAAAAATAGTGAAACTTCAAATATTAAACCCTATGAACTCCCTTGATGGAATTATACACCCATTTCTCCAATTACGTCGACCTGAAAATAAATAAGGCAGAAGGCGCGATACCTAAAGCGGGAATGTAATTGGACGCGCTAGATCGCGTGGGGTTCGCGTCACCTTAATGTTTCCGCACCGAACTCTTCCACTCCGCATCAAGGTCAAGGGACCTTGAAACTCACAAAATGACTCCAGGTGACGACTACGGGTTTCTAAAACCTCCTGGGTATGTATTCAACGACCTGCCTGTCTCGACCTGGAAGATTGCCACATTTCCATCCATAAAACCCGGCTGACCACTGCGCGCGTTCTGTTTGGATAGCAACGAGGAATACGAAGAAACCTACCGCACACCCTCAAATTACAGACCTCTCGACACATTCAAGCTCCCATCTGGGCCTGCTCGGCACTACAAACAACAGTATGGCGATATGTACTTCCTGCGGCTCGCTGGGCTGAAGCCTGCGGTGGAGAAAATTGCGATGGAGGCATGGGAGGGCATCACTGTATGACTATCCCTCGATCAGATACGCGCGCGTTCTGCCGCCGGGCTTGACTGACAATGGTTCTCTGCATTGATTAGATCGCAGGAGAGCATGCGCGACGTGTGGATCGAGTACTTGATGTGCGGCAGGGTGAGCTGTGTTGGGTCGCCGGCACAGTGTATATGGATATGCCAATGAAGCCCAACATTCTGGACGACCTTTCCAAAGAGGTAGGTGTAGAAAATCCTTCAAGTCTGTTGACTATATCTGACCGGTGTCTAGAACTTTACCTCCGCACCTCCCCCACGTCGTACCTATGTCGACTCATCCAACCCAGCACTGACTCAGACTACGTTGGAAGATGCGTCGGGCCGTGTCCGTCTGGCTGGAGACTTTCTTTCATCCGTCCATCTTACTACCGGTACCGTGGTTGCGGCTTTAGGAACAGAGAATGCCAATGGAGATTTTGAGGTCATTGACATCAAAGTCCCAGAATTACCCCCACAGCCGCCAAGATGGGGCAATGAAGGTCCAAAACATAATGGCAAGGACGCGGCTCCAAAGCAATCTGGCAAAATTGCTTTTGTCAGTGGGTTGGGGATTACAGGGACATCAAGCGATACGCTTGCATTGGAGTTGCTTACAGAGTATCTTCTTGGGTACACAGGGTTCTCTGGAACCGAGGATAATGGCCCTCCGAGTGCTTCAAATATCACGCGACTCATCATTGCAGGTAACTCTCTCGGAGCTAGCGTGATAACCGATGCAGCATCAGCTGGTATGGACGGCGCCGCAAAGAAGAAGGCTGCCCCGAAGAAGTACGGTTATGATGCTTCGGCGTACAACGCATCACCCATTACACACTTGGACAACTTCTTGTCGGAAATTTTACCGAGTATCCCCGTCACCTTGATGCCGGGCGAGGCAGATCCAGCAAACTTTTCCCTTCCTCAACAGAGCATTCACCGTACCATGTTTCCGAACTCCAGAGCATACGCTGCACCTCCGCCATCTGGTGAGGAGAAACCAGAAGCAGGTTGGTTCGACAGCGTCACCAATCCGTGGGAGGGCGAAGTGGAAGGCTGGCGACTGTGGGGAAGTAGTGGCCAGAACGTCGACGATGTTCTGCGTTACCTTGACTTCCCTGGCGAGGAGGGAAGCACAGAAAAGGACTCGGACGATTCGAGTGCTCGCATGCACGTAATGGAAGCGATGCTCCGGTGGCGAATTGGTGTTCCCACAGCCCCGGATACACTCTGTATGTTTCATGCCTCCGAATATATACTGGATCTTCATGCTGACAATTTTCTAGGGTCTTATCCATTCCAAGAATCTGACCCTTTCATTCTCGAGTTCTGTCCCCATATCTTTTTCACGGGAAACCAGCCTTGCTTCAAGACTGCCGTGATTGAGGGTGACCTTCCCCTCCGCCTGGATGGAGGTGATACCGAGATGACAGACTCTGCTGGCGAAACATCTGTACCTCGAGTTCGACTTCTATCTCTCCCACGTTTTAAGGAAACTGGGGAGCTGGTTCTGGTTGATTCTGAGACTCTGGAGGTAGAGGTTGTCCGGTTTGGTGTGTTTGCAGGACAAGAGGAGAAAAAATAGATCGATAGCATCCTCGAAATAGGCTAATGACATGACTACATTCTAATCAATTATGTACTGTTTGAATTGGTACATTGTGCTTGAGCATAGTTAGCTTCGTCTACATCAGGACAGTCGAAGCCGTCTGATGGGTCAATCTCGAATGGGATGTGTGATGTGAAACTTGATTGATAGCAATTGGAATTGACTGGAAACCCGAGACTGGTAAAACATAGGAAAAAGAATTAGAAAAGAAAGGAAGGAAGGAAAAACCTTGCTGGCATTGATTTGCATGTTCATGTGAATGTTCCGTTGTCTTTTGTCTTGTTTATTGGATCTGAAGACTGATTAGATGTTATGGTTGCCAAGCCCCACTTCACTTATATCCGCAACTTTGCCAAAATTTCATGCTTGTCCACTATACACACATAGATCAGTAGAGCACCCTCAAGTCCTGGAGTCTTGCAGTTACTTCTGTACTCGATTACCTGAACATACCAAAACCTAGTCTTTACCATCCTGATGTTGCTCAATGCTGAAACTGGTACGTATTATTTGCCCCTCTATACACCTTAACGCTTGAACCATCTCTCCAACCGTGAAGTACCACATAGTTCTTGCATATTAACACCATCGAACATAGCCATCTCGACCTCCAAGGTCCTACTTGTCCCATATTCAACATGGCACGTCCCCCGATATCACGAATGGATGCAAGACGAGGTAAGAATTGGAATTGCGATCAGAAACCCCACACCCCAAAAAACTACATGTTCAGACTAACCTTGGCACTAGGAAATCCAAGAGGCAACTGCTTCAGAGCCATTATCTCTTGAGGAGGAATACTCCATGCAGCGCAGCTGGCGCCAAGACGCTGACAAGCTGACCTTCATCACCTGCCAGCCAGTAGAGCAGCCCAGCACCAACTCAAGACAAATCAAATTGTGCCCAGAGGATGAATCCGCAGCAAACATGATCGGAGATATCAACCTCTTCCTCCGCGTTGAAGATGGCGAAGACGGAGACGCGCCTCCGCAGATTGTGGGCGAGATCGAGCTAATGGTAGCCGAGAAAATGAATCAGCGACGGGGATTCGGAAAGGCTTCAGTTTTGGTGTTTATGAGGTATATTGCAGAGAAACAGGTGGACATCTTGGAGGAGTTTGTGAAGAGTCTTGAGGAGGATGAAAGGGAGAAGTTGGTACAGGCTGCTGGGACGGAGGGATTGAGGTTACAGTGGTTGAGCGTTAAGATTGGGCAGGAGAATGTGAGGAGTTTGGCGCTTTTTGAGAGCTTGGGCTTTGTGAAGGTTTGCGCTGAGCCGAGTTTCTTTGGGGAGTTTGAACTGAGGAGGTTGGACTTGGGGGTGAGTGGGTTTGTCGAGGCTTTGAAGCTTGCTGGAGTTGAGGGCTATGTCGAATTGGATTATCAGCGGAAGGAATAGATTTTTACAGGGTACATACTCTTGTGGATATAAAAGGAAGTCGACTATAAAACTTTCGTATCAAATGAATACATTTTTTTTCTTTCTCTTTTTCATGACTATCGAAGAGTCCCAGGTACACCACCATGCTGTGTCAACCAGAGTACAGAATCAACTCGTTTAGCTCGCCTTGCATAATGAAGGGGGGATTCGCCGTTCACGTCCGAAGTAATTTTAGAGATCTTCGAAGACCTCTCCAGGTAATCCAAAAAGCCAGGTCCATTGTACACAGCAGCATGCCAAGCAGTCGCAAATATGGTAGAGGGTCGAGATTGATCTAGATCAGAGAGAACGGTATCGTGAATAGGAAATCCCACCTCCGCAAGTCGGACGGCAACAACTTCAGTAACAAACGTACAGAGAAAATACTTGTCCACAGAAGAAAGACCCTTCCGGATCTTAGTCTCAGGGCGAGGCTTCCATAACTCAAGCAGACATTCCAGAAACTGCAAATCACCTCGCCGGGCCACGAATGACAAAGGCGTCGGAACAGGAGTCATCTGAAACGCGTTTGCCCGCATACACATAATCAGATCCATCGTACCGAGAGGCTCGTCCCACGCAAACATGTACTCGAGTATCTGGACCGAACGAGCATAAACCGCAATAGCGGCATATGTCCACCCATACACGTTGCATCCATAGCAGTCCATGCCAGGAAGGCGTCTGCAAATCCAATCAAAACATCCAGGACAATCATCCAGAATTGCGCCAGTGATGACATCTGGTTCCTCATCCGGCCATCCGGTAATTGGAACTAGCTTGTTCAGCGGGGTTTTTCGTCCGCGCTGAGCATCACGATAGGGCCCCAGGAAGGCAGTTTCAAGCTCGTAGTGGAAGCGTCTATTGTTGTATAGAAACTTTCCAACGAATGCTGCGGCTGCATCAGTTGATCGGGCGATTTGGCGGATTTGGCAGAGGTTGGGGTGGGTCAGGTATGCCGATTCTGTTAGAAGACCATTCAGCAATGTGTTCAGGCTATTTGGGGATGGTGATGGCGAAACTTCAGTGGGATTTGACGAGACACTAGGAACGGAGAAAAGGGTTGGCGGATTGCTTGATAAAGGCGATGATAGATTTGTATCGTCGACAACGCCGATGGGGTACATTGGAAGGGGTTCTTCTGCTTGGTGAGATGGTTCTTGATGGGGGTATACTTCATCTTGGTTTTCAAGATGGGTTTGATTGAGGTTCAACTGGCTGAAATTGAAGGCGAGTTGATCCATGGTGAGACTGGACTGGGTATTTGATCCGGACATGGGAGGAAATTGGGCGAGATTCAGCCTAGTCTTATAGGTGGTTTGCTTGAGACATTCCAATCAATTTCATTGTCCTTTGAACACTTTGAGCTGATCTTAACGAAGAGCTTTTTTCCTTTATTCCTTTGTCCCCTTTACCGTAGCATGAAGGGCTTTATTGATGAAACTTATAGTGAATCTCAAAATATATTCACAGTCTTGTCATTATATCGAGATGGTTTGAGCTAAAATCACCCACTCAACACTACTTGGAGAGTCTAGAAGCGAAGGCAGCCTGCAGTTGAAAGCTTGATCCAGAGGTCGATGTTATGCAAGCACCCTTATCTATATCCACATGAGCATCCCCGGATCCATCTCACTAACGGCATTGGGCCTGCCACTGCATATATTATCAAGTCAGGATTCTAAGACTTACAGTCTCCATGCTCTTCATACAATGTGGAAAGTTCCTTGGTACGAGCTGGCGGAATCGAGTGGGTATTTCACGATATGGCTCGAGAAACAGTCTATGAATGTATGGGGGGAATGTGTTCACGTTCAGAATATAGCGGCATGGACATGGTCGAATGCGAGATCTCTTGGCTTGGGCGACTTGATATAATTTGAAATTGTCGACTTTCTACTAGCACCTTACGGTGGTTTCAATCTACTGCCACGGCACAGAATGTAAGTGCGCATCAAGTGATGGAATGCTTTATTTGATGCCATTGAGATGGACAAAGGCATTTCCCCGCACAAAGCGCGCAAGAAGCCCAGTAAAGGTGTTTCAACTGTTTTTTTCATTGGTGTGTAGGGACTGGAAGCTCCGACAAAAGCAATCCTCAAATGCGTCCGGAAAATGCGAGTTCGTTTGACCGTTGGAATATCACAGCGGTGTACAAACGCAAGGTTGACGTCTTTTTTTCATTTCCACCTCCCCCGTGTCGGCTCGCAGAGAGAGTCAAGGCCGTGCCATTCGTCCCTCCAACAGTTGGTCTTGCATTCATCGACAACCATTCGCACCGAACTCCATGCCTCCTTTTATGCCATTGTCACTGAATTTACAGGGACTTCTTCTTGTCGCCGTTGGTGACGTCGACAACCTTGAGGGCTGTAAAGAAATAAAATAATGTTAGCAGAGTTTCGGATAGCCTTCAATTCGTGTAATGACGCGTTCCGGGGTTTGTTGCCTCCTTCAATCGCGATTGATTTCCAACAGGCTTCCAAATAGAGTCATGGATAGAGAGGATCGGGTGGAAATGTGGGTTCGACGCACCAGGGGGAAGGCTCTGCTTGAGCTTGTCGGCCTTGTCGGAGTCCTTGAGGACAAGGGTGTACAGGAAGCGCTCGCAGCGGACCTTGAACTTGATCTGCTGGGACTTGGTGTTCTTCTTGATCCGGGCGGCTGTAGAAGCAGTTTGTTAGTCTTTAGTTCCGTGTTCTCGCTTCATAACGGGCTCCTCTCCGAACGGAAAAAAAGCGAAACGTACAGGAAGCGTCCTTCCGGCGGCAGATCTCAATGAACTGCTTGATATCGGAGACTTCGCGAGGCATGGTGACGGTTGATGCGGATTGAGGTTGCAATGGTGAGGAATCGTAGTCAAGATGGAGTTGTGTGGATCGGATTAGGGTTTTTGCTGCACGAAGCCCTGCTGGTCACGTGGTTCCGCAGCGGGTGCGCGAAGCTAGTAGAAGTCGGCGATGGACAACGTTCCGATAATTCTTCAAGAAGGGTGAGTTTTGTTGTAAGTGAAGTGAACGAATTTGATTGGTGTCGTCGCTCAGAGGTCCAGTGGGTTTAGTTTGATCAAAATAACCCGAAGGCCACCGTCGCGAACGCCTCATCGGCGTGGCAACGATATGCGGACATTTTGACGCAGCGTGTGGATTTAGAATACCATCTCGACTCTAAATCGTGCCTATCGATACACGGTATCTTGTTGGCAATATGAAAGCGAAATTGATGTCGTTTCTAGAAGATTATGCTGGTGCCGTTAGAGTACTGCAGATGGTTAGGGAATCATATACTCACCCTTATATGACCGCACTTATTAGCGTAGAAGCCATGAGAGTAGAAGCCGTAAATAGAATGACAGCTTACATGCTGAAGCTTACTGAAGCTAGATAATGTACATTAAGAATCGGTGTCTATCGAGTGGGGTATAGATAGAGGGTGGCTGTAGAGCTGAGCTGGAATTTACACTATAGAGAAAGGATTGACTTGTACTTATTTACCAATGTAGCCTCTTGGACTATGAGCCGAAGATTACTAGGTAGAAAATATTGCGATGCATATAGATTTGGTTCATGGGAAGGCAGCAGCAACATGCAGTGGCGAAAAGTGGCGTGAGGTGGCGGTGCATATCTCTAAGTGGTCTACTTGTCCAAACTCACTTCCAGCTTTAGGCAACGCATCACCCTTTCAAATTTTTGTTTAAGCAAGAGTACTTACTACTACTTATTACTAAATTTAACAATTTACGGCGACGCAGAACATCTGACCATCAAAGAAGCCAAGATGCCTACCCCACTGGATCGCGCGATGAATTCTAAGGTACTCCACCCTGGTGAAACCATATTGAGCATAGTTAACAGGAATTCTCTAGAATTTGTTCATGGGTGAATACACAAATTTGGACTGTGTTGAACTGAAAAGCTCCTAACATTCTATCATGACATAGGGTTTGCAGGTATGGTGACGGCCGTTGCAGCCTATTCCATCTGGGGCACTGATATTTTCCCCAGCGAGACCGACCCCAAAGGAAGTAAGCAACAAGCAAGACAAACATTTAAATATATGCTAACTGGATAGATCCCGAGGATTGGACTGCCGACGAAATGAGAAGGTGGCTGCGTGTGGTAGGTTCCAGATCCCTAGAACCGTATAAGTCCCTCACTAACCATGCTGCAGCGGGGGCTTTTGCCGACCGAAAATGCAACTCGGGAAGAATTGTTGGAGAGAGTTAAAGCCAATCTGCGGATACCGCGTAGCTCCCAAGCCCCAGGATCGCAGTCGTGATAGTCGAGCGGTGGTTTTGGTCTCGTCGTCTTCAATCCTTCAAATGCGTCCTCACGTGTAATTCCCCAAATGTTTCGAAATTGCGATTGTTTTCAACTCAATAGTTCCTGATAAGGTCCTTTTCTAGCCAAGGTTCATGCCTGAAGATGGCGTAGAGATATCTTAATAGCTCATAGCCATCGCCGTCATGATGAGCGACAAAATATAAGCAAATTGTCCATCCATATCTTTGATTCCATGCGACACTCGGCACGTCTCAGACAACAAGGCGGAAGTTTTGGCTCTGAATCAACCAGTCTCGCCGGCGCTTGCCTCGCTCAGCAGACGGGTTGGGCACAAGGACGAAAGTTTCACTGAAGCCGCGCTGGGGCTGATCACGATTCTCGCCATATCGCACATGTCCGCTCACGATCACCAAGATCGACATGTCCTTGATGGTCATCTGGGCGGCCGGTTTCACACCGGACTCGGTAACGGTGGGGTATGCGCGGTTGATGACTTGGCAGTCGTATGATTGGGCTTCATAGTGTGCGTGTGGCATCTGATTGACGAAGATGTCTTGAACCGCGGCGCCGTCTGCCACAGTGTTGCCGTTGAAGAGAATTTTTGAGGGTACTGGGGCGTAGAAGGAGGCGATAGATTCGCGGTTGGAACAAAGGGCTTGGTAGAATGTTTGAACAAGCTCGGTGGCAGCTAGAGATCTCGATCATTACAAGCGACCTTGCTAGGGATTTGGGCGTTGAAATACCTTCAGTAGACACTTTGACCAGCTGGTCATCACTTGCGGAAGACATTGCGATGGTCTGAAAAATGGCGAATATATGAAATAAATTTGGGATAGAGAGTATGCTTTGTATATGCTTCGTATATGTAGATATGTACCAGGAGTAGTGTAATTCACTGGCAGGCTCTGCGTTGTATGGTGAAGGAATGGCTTGGGGAATCAAAGAAAAATGACGGGCGGGAGCTTGGACCACTTCCGGAGCGCGATGCGGAATAACATGCGACACTTATTTTCTTCTCCGCAACGCTCCAATGGCTTCCACAAGAGCGCCATTCCGTGTCCTTCCAAGGGCCAGCCTTCTTTGGAATTCTCGAAGGTCATGGACTTGCACCGCTTGCAAATATGGTAGTCCTAGGATGCTCCGTGGAGTTGCGACAACTCCGATTCAGACTCCGGAGGAATTCAAAAAGCCGTACTATGTGACTACGCCGATTTTCTATGTCAATGCTGGTAAGAGAATCTTATCACTGCTAGGAAGTTACCGTGTTTAACCCTTTCATCTGTGACAGCACCCCACGTTGGCCACTTCTACACCATGGTCATCGCCGATATCTTGAAACGATGGCAAGTCCTATTAGGAAACACCGACGCTCAATTATTGACCGGAACCGATGAGCATGGAATGAAGGTACAAGGGATCTATATATACTTGGATGAAAATCTTGACTGACAGTCCTGTCAGATCCAGCAAGCAGCCCTCGCAGCGGGCATGGATACTCAGGCTTTTTGCGACATGAACTGCCGAACCTTTGAGGTATGATTCTTGATTCATTTTTACTCATTTCAGGCAAGAGACTCACTGTGAATTGTGATAGGCCCTTGCCAAGGTTGCGAATCTCGATAACGACCACTTTATTCGAACGACTGATCCGGCGCATCGGGAAGCTGTACAATATTTCTGGGTAAGCAGGCTCGCTCACTGGCAAGGACGCAATTAACGGACGATTTAGGAAATGCTTCAACACCGAGGTTATATCTACACCTCCAAGCACGAGGGATGGTACTCCGTCAGCGATGAGACTTTTTACCCGCAAACACAGGTACAGAATTCCTTGGATCCAGCAACGGGACGAAAGAGGATGGTCAGTTTTCCCCACTAGCCAACGTCAGTCATGGCGGCTCACATTTCTATCAGGTTTCAATTGAGACTGGCAAGGAAGTAGAGTGGTCCTCGGAGACAAACTATCACTTCCGCCTTTCTGCATTCAAGGACCGCCTGCTTGAGCTATACAAGAGGGAAGACTCTTTCATCACGCCTTCGAAGTATTCTACTTCCATTATTCAGTCTGTCGAATCTGGACTGCAGGACCTGTCAATTTCACGGCCGGCAGAGCGGCTTACCTGGGGCATTCCGGTCCCCGGTGACAGCACACAAACAATCTATGTTTGGTTGGATGCGCTCGTGAACTATCTCACCAGAGCAGGATATCCATTCCCTCCCGGGCAAGAAAATCAGTCCATGTGGCCCGCCAATGTCCATGTGGTCGGGAAGGATATCGTTCGGTAGGTGCAATGCAGTAGTCTTCAAGCCCGGGCTTCACCACTGATAATTTACAGTTTCCATTGTGTCTACTGGCCGGCATTCCTCATGGCTTTGGATCTTCCCTTGCCGCGTAATGTTCTCGTCCATGGGCATTGGACCATGAATCGTGAAAAGATGTCGAAATCTACAGGCAATGTGGTGAATCCATTCTTTGCCATCGACAGATTCGGCGTGGATAGCATGCGGTTCTTCCTAGCCTATCAAGGAGGTCTCGCTGACGATGCCGATTATGATAATGCCTTCATCATTCGTGATTATAAGAAGTTGCTCCAAGGAGGAATTGGCAACCTGGCAGCGCGCACAATTGGGCTTGCCAAAGGAAAATTGAGCTCATGTATCCAGGACGCCACCTCTAACAGCCTCCCTGGCCCAACCCTGGCGGATGTGGAACACCAGACCATGTTGGTCTCGACACCACTAAAGGTTGCAGAGCATATGAAGGGACTGAACCCGCGGGCTGCGCTGCAGGAAATTATGGGCATCATCGAAAAGGTATGAGCAAGCCCTTAAGATCCCCATTGGACAATAGTTGACTCTGTTTGCCTGTTAGGCCAACAAATACTTCCATGCGACCGAGCCATGGAACAACCCCGACAACCAATGGGTTCTTTTCAACGTGGCAGAGTCGCTCCGTATCTCTGGTATCTTGCTACAGCCGTTCATGCCCGCCAAGTCACTGGAACTTCTGGAGATGCTCCGCGTAGATACAACTAACCCTGCCAAACTAAGATTCTCAGCCTCGGTCTATGGATCGGATTCAGAGTACGGTGAAGGCGCCAAGAAGGGTCACCTTTTCCCTCCTCTCCTCGCTGAGAACTAGTTTTCCTTGGCACGAGCTGCATTTTTGAACAAAAGGAAAAAAGATGGGCCAAACTGTAGGCGCATTGACCCCCACTATGTACCATATGTATAGCATTTGATTAGCGCGTGTAATTATATCAAATTTCATCTCACCACATTCCTTTATTAGTTAAATCGCTGTAACTAAGATAGCGCCTCCTCGACCCCGACTTCCCCTCCGGGTTTAGCGCCAGGACCTGACTGAGTCATTCATTTATGCCAAGGATAATTCCGGCATTAGCGCTATGCATGGACCCTGAGGCAGCTCTCCACAACAATCTATAAGATGGCACATGAAATGCTCAGATAATGAACTACAAGCACATTGAATATGGTCTTTTCGCCTTTCTTTTCTTTCCCTTCTTCAGACACAGTGTTATGCCTACGGACATCAAAACAAAGCTGACATATCTCCATTGGCAACCCACCTATACCCAGACTCGACCATATCGAATCGCCCAATTCGGCCGCAAGAAGAAAAATGACGAGCAGGCCCACAATCTTGTCTTCCGCAAAGGAGACTTTGCTGAGACTATTCACGATATTAGAGGTGTAAATGAAGATACAAAGTATACCCTCGAGACAAACGGGTTTGTCTATGCCAGGCATCCCCCGCCAATATTCACACAACCCAAGGACTTCCTCGACCCAGACCAGGTTCGGAATGTCTTTTTACCGGAGTGTGAAGCAATCCTACGAAAGGAGATTGAGGGCGTTGAGCGGGTTTTCATTTTTGATTGGAAAGTAGGGAATGTAATCACATATCCCAAATAAGCATTGTATACTTATCTTTGGTCGTAGATCAGGAAGAAGAAAAGTGCGAAAGAGCGAAGAACGAGGAATCCGAATTTGCTGAAATTTGCTCGACAAGTCCATGTCGGTAAGTGTTCTCAACTCCTGATTATCATCTCAATGCTTCATATTTGCGTCTTTCTTCTCTAACGAAGTCTAGACACTCTTCTTACTCGAGATGAACTCAAGACCTCGTTGACAGAGCGCATCCGCAATCATCTCCCGAAAGAATCACATCATCTGCTGACTGGCCGAGTGCAAATGATAAAGTGAGTATCATCTATGCCCCACAAGAGCTATATTTGCTTGCATTTCTCAGTCTCTAACATGTCGGTCTTAGCATCTGGCGACCAATAGGTGGACCAGTTGAAGACGACCCCATTACTGTGTGCGATGGACGAACCTTTGATACATCTAAGCTGGTTGAAACTGATATGATCCGTGGCGATTATAATGGTACTCTCATGTACCCTTTATATGACCCTAGTCATGCCTGTCGGTGGTACTATATGAGCAGACAGGATGTCGAAGACGTGCTGTTGTTCAAGAGTTTTGACTCGAAAGAAGGTAGCGTCAAACGTAAGTGACATCTCATTGAAACCACGAAAAGCGAACCAAAGCAGTATGTTGAGTCTAATCAAGCTATTCTGTGTTGTAGATGTCCCTCATACATCATTTTCAATGCCTGATGTCCTGGAGGATGCACCCTCGAGGATTAGTGTCGAGGTAAGGGCTTTAGTATTTACACAATAGATCTCAAGCTATGGATAATCGACCCGTTATTCTGAGTAGCAAGACCGTTTTATGCACATTTAAATCTCAAATCCCTAGACAGCAATCTCCCCCAACTGCTTAACTCGATAATACCAGTAATTCTTCCGAATCGGATCATACTTCTCCAGCAAACCGAACATCTCAACAGCCTTCCCCTTTTTCTCATCAGCAGCATAAACATCGGCCAACCACTCAACAGCATGCGAACTCTTAACAAGATCCTCCGAAATAACAAATTTTCCCGCAAACTCCTCCCATTCACTCAGACTCCTACCAGATGCAAGCAACACCCCCCGAGCGTACCACCACGGACTACGGTTCTCCGGCGCCCGCACAATAGCCTCCTGCGCAAACGCTAGCTCCCCATCAATCATATCCTCATCGACAACAGCCAACACGCCCTTCTCAGCTGGAGTGGTCGACATGTCGCCTGCATTGACCATACCAGCGTCATGCTCGTTATCAGCGCGAGGGCCGAATCGGAGCGTGTACCGGTGACTCCAGGCGGAGTTGTTGCGGACGTCAGCTTTTAGGAGGACATTTACGTCTTCGATTTCACGGGGGAGATCCCATAGCTTGAAGTGGCGGACGAGCCAGTGACGGTAAGTCCAGACGTGGTAGTTTTTGCTGTCCTGGGCGAACATTTCCATAAGGAAGTCTAGTTCCTTGGGTGGGAGAGTAGGGAAATGTCGGCGGGAGGACATGAGTACTTGGCGATGGTGCCTGATGATGTTAGTTTGTTTTTTTGTCTTTTCAGGATTCAGGGGTGTAAAGTGCATGTACCAGATTTGATAGTTTTTCAGGTATTTAAGAGCTACTTGGTTCAACCAAGCAACCTCTTCTTCGATATTTTTATCCATTGCGAAGAGGATTCTGGCGCGGTAGATCCTGGGAACAGTTAGAATGTTTCCTATGAACAGAACACAAATCCAACTACTTACCAGACAGTGTAATGAGCAGGGTTCATGGAGATAACATCCTTAGTCAAGTCCAAAGCCCGATCAGACATCTCATTGGCAGCCATCACGGCCCGCAGGTAAGATGTTGCCTCGAGGTACTCGGTAGGGTAGGCAATGGAAGCCAGGGGCATAGCATCGGCATCTTCACCATCATCCAGTGGGATTGGAGTCACAGAGGCCCATACTGGGTCATTTGCGTATTTCCCGGCCATTTTGAGGGGTGAGTTTGGCTATCAAATCTGATGCGGGGGAGTTCGAGTGGATGGATGCGCCAAGCGCTAGATTCACACGCTGTCGGAACAAAAGGGAGCTAGATTGAGTGTTCCTTCTTAAATGGTTTGGCTGACTTTTGTTTCTTTCGCCAGGGGGAATTGGTCCTTTTATGTGATAATCAGAGTTGATCATTCATCGCGAGTTGAGGTGCTTGGTGGGGCCGTGGATTCTCTTCCCAGTGGTTTTATTGGTTGCCTGAGGCTCGAACAAAGAGAACAATATTAACAGTCAATGAACTTCATGCATTAGATTCAATTCCGCGAGGATATGATGGAGCCTGCTGGCTCTTTAATTATTGTTCCAACATATCCGCCTTCCACTGACCCATGCAGACTCTTTTCGTGGGGATGTCCAGGTTGGCAAACACATATACTCGAAACAAAGACCACTATAGAACAGCCACCGGTCCATCATTGACAGTGTATCACCAGCAAAATACAGCTCAAATACGCAATATAGCCGAGTTTCATCTTTATCTAGGTACCATTTACAGATAATACAACCCAACCCAACCCAGCCCAACCTTCATATCGGACTAATTACCCAAAAGTTTCGCCCCCATTGTCCAAGTAATTAACCTCATCCTCGGTAGAAACCCTCCCAAGCGCCGCATTACGATGCGGATACCTTCCAAACTGCTCAACAATAACCAAATGCCTCTTCTCAAAGTCCAAGGTATTATCTAACCACCCCTTCATCAAATCCCTCTTCTGAAATAGAACATCAAAACATTCCCTCTCATCCTCATCCAAGGAACCTCTTTCAGCCTTCAAAAACGCCTCCATATCTCTCGCCGTCTCCTCATGCACTTTCACAGCCTGATAGTGCACGCCCACATCCTCAGAATGCATGAGAGGCATTTGGAACCAGAATCGATAAGAAAGTCTGTACCTGATTGGATTCTGAACTGGAATCCCAAGTGAGATCGCTTTGATGGCTATCTCGCAGGCCAAGGGATCAAAGCTCGTGAATACCGTTTTGGATTCCGGACCTCGGTAGCAGTTTCTCGGGACCTGGTCTAGGAGGAGTAGGAGGCTTAGCCAGGTCAGAGGGTTCTTTGTGTCCACTGTTGATAGGATGTCTGTAGCCGTTGCGCCTGAGCTGATGATTGCTTCCAGGGCTGGTTGGAATTGGGCGCTTGGTTTTGTTAGCTTGGAGGAAGGGTTTTCTATAAAGAGGATATGGCGTGTGTTTGGAATAGCTTACACGCAAGCTTTGTCAAAGTCTGCATCTGTGGCGAACCAGCGTTTCATTTCGCTCTGACCTGGGAGGATCAGGGACTTTTCATCGCTTAGGTGGTCGAACCAGAATGTTCGGATGTCCTCGAGGAGCGAAGGGGTGAGTGTTTGCTTCAGCTCTGTTGGGGTACTAGCCATCTTGGGCTGTGTGGTGTAAAATTTCCTTGAAGATGGATGTATATGAACTCCTTGCGCCTTCGAGGTATTGATTACAGCCCGGTGGACAGACTGTGAGGCCAATAGTCTAGTCTGCGACACCGAGGCAGGTCTCAAGGCTTGCCGAGCCAACGGACCAAGTCTGGACGTAGGAAGCTACGGAAGATTTAGTGACACTGTTATACCCACTCAATATCGGGCAAATCTTACCTTCCGTGCGAGCGCCAAAGACATGATGTGGCTTACATATTATCAATTTGGGGTCTGCGCGATAAGGATGATCTGAGTCAGCGGGATCCACTTGTGGATGCGAGCTATGACGATCTCGGGGATTTCATGATTGTTTCAATGGCTACTGCGAAATAGTATTATAAGTTGAAATTCATTCGATGATTACTAGGATATCTCATGCTCCCACGGCTAACCAGCAGGCACAATGCGCCAAAGACATGCTCATGCAAAGATAATTACGAGCCATTCCTCCAATAACCCAAAAGTCAATTAAAACATAGATCAAAAGAGAAACCCCGGGATATCTGTGGACTTCTGGGGAAGCCATATTCCAAATGACTTTCACAACATGCTCAGACGCGGGTTGACGGTCACAAATTGGGTGTAAATGTATGTAGGGGACAAGGTGTAAAGAGAATGGGACAAGAATGGGACAAGAATGGGGAGAATTTCATATCAGGATAGAAGACCGAAATCGGAGAAGGCAAGAGAATAAAAAGGAGAAGGGTAATTAGAAGCCCATGGTGTAGAGAGGAGGGGATCAAAGTCGGATATTAGAGAAAGGGAGGGGGGAGGGGGGTTAGAGTCCGAATATCAAACGGCTCGTTTCCAAAACTTCCAGCCTTCGCGCTTTTCGTGGAATGCGACACCCACAAGACGCTCAATTCCGATGTGGCCCTCGGCCTCCTCGAATTTCTGCTGGTCGATTTCTTCACCACCCTCCTCGTCGGTGCCGTTGCGCAGAACCGCAGGGTAAAGAACACCAACACCGTCACCGCCCAGAGTAGTCTCGTATTTGTTGTTGCCCTCAATGGCAAGCTTCTTAATCAGTTCTTTGACAGCTTCGGGGTCTGCATCGGGACGGATAAGGGTCATAGTGCAGCCGCCACCACCAGCACCAGTTAGCTTGGTCCAGCCAACGTTGGCGGATTCAACAAGTTCACAAATCCGCTCTAGGCGAGGATGAGAGACGCCCAAAGAAACGAGCAGGCCGTGATTGATGCGAATCAGAGTTCCAAAGTGAGCCATGCTCTCGGTGGAGTCGCCCTTGAACTCTGGATCCTCGATCAATTGACGAGCAGAACATGTCACATGATCAATGGAATTAAGAATAGATTCGGTCACGGCGGAATGGGCCTTTTTGAGAGCAGAGACCTTGGCTAATTCGGTGGCGGTGGAGCGGGTCTGTTGAGTATCGACGAGGAGCAGGGGCAATTCAGGGAAAGAAGGTAGTGAAATGACCTCGGGAGGCTTCTCGTAATCGGTCCGCTTGAAGTACACAGCCTTGCCGCCTGCGGAGACTGTGTTGTCCACTCCACTGGGGTTCCCATGGATGCAAAGCTCACCCACAAACGCCCAGCGATTGATCCGTTCAATTTGTGTTTCGGCCTCATCTGGGGGCTGATCGGGGTGAGGACCGGCAAGAGTTCGAATCTGGAGCAAGAGTGCGGAACTCATGCAGACGCAAACACTGGCGCTGCTGCCTAGTCCAGCGCCGGTGGGGATGGTGGAGCGGAGGGTGTAGATGGCGCCTGCGCTTTGAGGGGAACCCAGGGAGAGGAAGAGGTAGAGGAATGCGGAGGCGGAGCGAATGTGGATCTTGCGCTGCTCCTCGGGGAGACCCTCGGAGACATTTTCAAGGTGGGGATTGAGGGCTTGTACGAGTTCGTCGTCGAGAGAAGTGACTAAGCTGTAATAGAACTTCTTCTTATCGGGACGATGGAAGACATCCCAGGGCAGAGCATCAATATCCCATGTGTGCTTCAATCCCAAATCCCGGAAATTCAAAGTGATTGTCCGCTGTGATTTGGACAGAGTGGTGACGAGGAGATAGGATCGGAGGGAAATGGCCGCAGCCAGAGCCGCCTTGCCATGGACGACGGCATGTTCACCGTACATTATGACCTTTCCAGGCGCCGAGACCATAAAGGTCGGTGCCATTGGAGATGAAGCTTTGCGAGACATTCCTGGGCGCTTTGATTTGATTCCGTTTTCTTTCGGGGAGCCGGTGGAGGAGTCGGAGAGATCTGAGTCAACGCCGTTGCCGTTCACAGGAGGGTGAAGGAGTCCGTTTTGTATCTCATCGGGTAAGAAATGGGCGACTGGACGACGATGACCATTTGAAGTCCCGACATCATTCAATTGCGCGCGGAGTGTTGACATGGCCGGTATTGAAATTCAGGGGCGCGGTGTAATATTATTCGGGCGTCGGGGAGTAAAGGGGGGTTGAGGGGTTAAAGAGAGACGTATGGAGCACAATTTGAGATCCTTGGCATTGGAACTGGAGCAACTGGAGCAACAATGGGAAAGAGAGAACCCAGAAAGTCGGGGGATTTTCAGTGATCCAACCTACGGAGTATACCAGGGCACGCGCGACGACCAATCAACGACCGTAGATTTCTGATTGGTCATTCTCCCCAACTTTTCGCAGATTTTAATTTCAATTTTAATTGTCGAACGAATCAGAGTCTCGGGTTATTCTCTGCTTTCCAATAGGCTACCGAAATATTACGTATATTCAGCTGAGGTATGTGGACAACACATCGCTTAATGGCTATGCTCATGTCGGCTAAAATGACCATTGCATAGCCTCATGCCGTGCTTCAGCTGTTGTTGAAGTCCTACACTAATTCTGACAACTTCCGTTAGCCCCGCTGATCTCCGGGTGGCGGTTCTGACGTGCAGAACACTAGCATAGATTCATTCGGGTAGTCCGATTCACAATGGCAAAGTCCTGGGATTTAGCTCCTGTATTTCCGAGGACTGGTAAATACCGAAAAATGTATTGTTTATGCTTATTCATCACGCGAGCTAAATACAGGACATAGACATAATCATTAACTCATAGATTCATCGTCACGGTCATGCTATTGCTGTGAACCAACAAACACGGCGGTAGGCCTTGCCACAGTACTTCCAGGTCACTCAAGTACGAGGCACTGTCCTGTTCGCGGAGGGATGTACCCTCTACCGGGGACGGTAGTGTCGTGAAGATAACGGCTGTCTCACTGCTTTGCTGGACCATCAGCTCATTGAGGATGAGATGCTGTGCCCGGCTAGGAAGATCATTGAAGGACAATGGAATAGAGGCGGGACCTGGGAACCCAGACGCCGTTTGGCTGATCTGTGCACTGGGAGAGGTAGACGAGGTGGCGGATGGGCGCCTTGCGTAGATGGAATCGAGTTTCTGCGTAAAGCGGGGCGGTGATGCATTCTGTGCGAACATAATTGACGGTCCGGCCTCGTCTGCTCCCGTGTTCACCTTGGCTTCCGGGATTGGTGAGGAACTGAAACGATTGCTGGATGCAGAACGGCTGATGCCCGGGCGTTTGGGACGGACTGGGCCAGGAGCCGGAGATTTGCTTGTTGGGGATGCATTGTCTTCCGTGATTATAGAGGGGATTGCCTGGCTAGCGAAGTCCTGTGCGATTGGACGAGTCGAGGGACTCACACCAGGACTTTGGCCATCGCTTTTGGAGCGAGGCAATTGTGAAGAGCCATTCCGATTCTGGACCACCTCTTCCTGGTCCTCGTCCTCGTCATCAACTTCTGGATCGCTAATGTATGGATCCAGTTCACTGTCACTGCTGCTTTCACTGCTGGAGAACTCCCCATTATACCCAACTAAGGTATCCCCATCCCCATCATACTTAACAAAGGCTCCAAGGCGGTTGATTTGCATCCCTAGATTGACACCCCCCATCGTCTTAAAGCTGGATACAGACCGTCTGCGTTTGTTGGATTGGATCAGTCTCCTGAGTCCGGTCACTTGTTGATATGGTCGGTTCCCACTGTCTATGCTCGAAGGTGCCTGCCACGTAGCCGCTCTTTCCATTCGCATGTCACCAGTAGTTGCATCTACTGCCTGGCTTTGGGAGTGATTGCGAGCTCGCAAAATTCCCTGCCACCATTCCTCGTCCTGGAGGACAGAATCAACATGGTCCTGACCGTCTGCAATCTCTGAAGAGGTATCTCCGTTGACTATTATGCGGTATGCCTTCAAGTCTCCGCATGCAAGCCAGAAAACCAGTACTTCGGCTTCAATTCGCAGCTTCTCTAGAAGAGCTTCAACCCGTCTTCTTTCATCCTCCACATCTGTCTCATATTCAACAAACACCGCCACTCGCAATTGATATGTCTTCTTCCACGACGGAACAGTGTTGAGAATGCAGCCCAATTGCAGAATGAGGGTATAAGTGTCGAAATTGGTGGTCAATACATTCTGCTTACTCTCGGTGTCGGCTCCTAGCTCCGCTGACATCTGGATGGGCCAGAGGTCAATGAACTTCTTTGTGTGACGGCCATGAGGGTCCGGCAGCTCCAAGCTCTCAAACCCTTTAGCCACAGCCACGTTGATACGAAGCTTAAACAAAAGGTCCTCAAGGACTGTCACGTAGCTTTGGATACTCATCGGCTTGACCGGAATCTCGGATTCATCTGATGCCTCTCGCCTTAAGCCAAAGTATGAAGAGCGACGTCTCGTCTTGGTGTTGCTGCTTGGAGTCAAGGTTTCCACTAGAGACTGGTCCTCTCGAAACTGATCGATCACGACAATATTGGGTCGCATGCCTCCCAGTCCTGAGTTGAGAACAATGTTTCGCATACCCCATTCTGCGGCCGGGGCAATGGCAATGTTGACAAAGGCTTTGATCTTGGAGTATTCAACATATTTAGTCCATGCGGTTTGCTGTCGACGGGCCTCTGGAACGGCTGATGAGAAATCTTCGGTGACAATAACGTGGCCCAATACAAACAATGCGCCTTTCTTCAGAGAGTTGCAGAAAGAGACCATTTTGTGCTGTCGATCAAGATCGCTCACGAATAGAAGAATCTGTGGTCGCCAAAATTTGACATGCTCTTGACGTAGGCGCAGCAAATATTTCCGCACCTGATGGTAGATTAAACTTTGGCTGACATCTCCCCATGGCTTGGGTGGTGATGTGTAGTGAATCAGCAGGAATAAGATAAACAAAACGCTCACCGCACCGCTGGCGTAGAGACCATCCACAAAATACATGCTGACGCCACTGACCAGAGTTCCTGCAGCTGCTGTCTGCCAATTGAAGTAATGGAAAGATGGTCGGAAATTGGGGGCAGACCCAATCTTAAGTAGGAAACAAGCCAAATTAGTGACTAGAAAGGTCATCAGGTATATCATGGTTATGAAGGAGGCGATGCGATTGATATCGAACAGCATTGTAACCTGGGCAAAGATGAAGGTAATAATGATTGCATAAATGGGCTCATCATTCTTCTTTGTACCTTGACCAAAAATTTTAATACCAGGAACTAAGCTATCTCGAGCAATTGCCTGGAGAAGCTTGGCAGATCCGGTGACGCCCATTAACACGGAGAAGAAACTAGTCGCGAATTCTCCCAATAATATGAGGCTGTCAGAATAGTTGACCTGTTTTTTTGAGGTGAGACGGGATTTAAAACATTCAGAGATGGCTGGAACTTACGACCTGAATTACATTCACATTGTTATAGAACGATTGCCTTGTGATGGAGGCTGCCATGGCAAGGATCACCGTTGTATATGTGACGAATGTCAGAGCCATGCCGGCCAAGGTTCCTTTGGGAATTGCTTTGCTTGGGTGCTTGAGATCACCTGACATGCTCGCACCCCTAGAAGATAATCAGTCATATGTAACTCCTCCATGGCAGTGCAAACTCACGCGAATATGCCTGCTGTTGCCGGAAACAAGATGCCGAAAAGATCCTGGAAACTTTCCTTCCCTTTCAACTGACTTCCCGCAGCACCTTTCGTTAGGTGTGGTGTGAGATTTCCCGCGAGCGTTTTCAAGCTCAGCCCAGTAAACTCCACGCCATCTCGGGAGAATGGCTTCATGAATATGGCAGATAGAGGGATGCTGAAAGTGGCCACAAGAAGAATAACCAAAAGACCATTGCTAGCTCTTGCAAATAGAGAGCTTCCAGCAAAGCAAATGGCAGTACAGAGGACTAAGATAATCGTTCCCCACAGATACGACCACCAGAACCCTTCCTGGAGGAAATTCCCCAAGCTGCCAGATGTGCTACCAAAGTTCTGAAAGAAACAGTCGACCAGGCCGACCGAGTTCATACCAGTGTTGAAGACGTAGCCCATATAGAAGACAATTCCAATTGATCCACCGAATTCGGGACCGAGAGATCGAGAGATCAAGTAGTATGCACCTCCACCTCGGACCGTACCATTTGTTGCGATCGCGGATAGTGACATGGTTGTCACCAAATTAATCGTGTAAGATATGACGAGGAGTCCTTTCCCGATCAGCAACAATCGCAGAAGCACGACTGGGAGGAGAGTTTACCTAGTATCCCTAACAATCCTCCTTGACCCAAAACAAATCCAAAGCGCAAAAACATCAAAATACTGAGTACGTTCAGCGTCACAGGAACAAATACACCGGAGAATGTTCCAAGCTTCTTGGACTCCTCTGTCAATCGAGGTCGATGCCCATTCCTATCCCTCTTGTCGACAGTGGCATCGTGTAAGGGTCCTGTAAAAGAAGGCGTATGCGCAGATACAGGTTCTCCACTAGCCTCTTGCCCCTTTCCATTGTCTGTGTTTCCAGCCCACAATCTGCCCAGGCCATGAAACGGGTTTGTGGACCATGAGTGGTGATGGTGTTCAGGAGCTGTGGAGTTGAGTCCCTGTTGGGTGGGTGGAATGACAGGTGCCAAAGACAGAAACCCAGCACTGGCAGAGGAGTCCAGCTCGTTCGGATCCAGGCGTGAATCATCTGCTTCAGCGGTCCGAGCTGCGAAGTTCGGGCGTCGGCGAGACATTGCGGGTGTGATATGTCCGCGGAGTTCGGTTGTCAAACGCAACGATGCAACTGCGATGGGTGCATGAGGGATATATGGCACCCACACCGTCGATGATAAAGCAGAAACACAAGGAAATGCAGAAAAAGAAAAAGAGCAAGGAGTATTCTATAGTCACGAGAAAAAAGCAAGATAACCACTTGCGTCACCGCGCGTCTTGAATGGACGCTCAGCTATCACGTGACATGTGACATAATCAGATCATGCCCAACACGATACAGCCAACTGACGAGTCTATAGGGTCATGACATTTAAATAGCTTGGCCACAGATAGCAGAAAGCTAGTTAGGTCCCTGGCCATGAAAAGCAAATCCTATCCCGGGATTCACGGTTGGGGTAAGCGCGCTAGAGAACCTTCATGTTTGCTGTTATTGTCCTACTCAACATGCGGACAAGTGCGTAGATATAGACATGGATTATTCCAGAGACTGAAGATGAAGCCGTTCTTTGATAAAGAGGCTAGCAGTTTCTTGAAAAACAGATTGCTTATCATATCCAGTCGAAATACCACATTTTGGCACGACAATCAAACTTCAAGTTTCCTAGATTCCTGGTAAAAACGCATACCACCCAGCCTTCAGGACCGAATTCTCTAGCAGCTTCCCTTCAAACCTTGAAATATCGTGTATAGTATCTAATTACGATACTAGAGTTGATGAAAGAGGGTAATCGGGTGACTTTTTAGAATGGAATAACGGATGTAGACCTTGAGATATAGATAGGTTGGAGCGGGATTCACTAATTCCCATTGGACCTGTCTACAATAAGCTCCCGGTGTGGACTGGTACAGCCAGATGCCACTTTGAATTTCACCCTTGTTTCCTTTGATACGTTCTTATTCATCACTTCGAACAGTTAACTAGGACTCCATCAAATTGAGTCCCTTGGCAGTCAGAAACATCTGTGGTGACAGACTTGCCAGCCCACCGAACTTCTTATACGCTCCTTTTAGTCAACTACAAAGTCAGAACTTACAGGGCTGTTCACGAATACACTTAACCGATGGGGGACGCAGGAGATACCATTACATACTCAGATATTGCACGAGTATTCAATTGAAAACAATATCTGCCATACACAGTCTAGTTAGAATCCATGATCATGGGCAATTAGATTTCTATGTTGCGTTTCTGGTTTTCCTTTAATTCATTGCTTGGGAATAAAATTCAGTCAAGGATTGACCTACCATGTATCCCAAGATTTCAAGCTTCTGCACTTGGAACATGTTGTTCGTAAGTTTCGTGACCAGGGACTCTATAACTGCTACCATGAAACGCGAAATCCACGACAAATTAGGTGAAACTTCATCCCACAGCCTTTGCAGTGTATGAAAGAATTTTGAACTGTGAGGGTGGTCTTCAGATATTCTATATGCAAAGAGATTTTCTGTATCAGTTCATCACTGGTAAGGACTTGAATTAGCAGAACAGTGGGTCACGATGTACATAGTGTACGACATGATATGTAGGCGGAGCCTAAGACATGATGATGTTATCGATAGGCATCCACCGCCTGCTCCATCTGGGCCGAGCGTTAGTAACCACCACACCCGCACTTGGAGACGATCGACCTCCCTCGCTTCTTTCCACCAGCCACGATACACAGCTTCTCTTTCTTGGTAGATGCACGGCCCTGGGTTACTTCGTAATTAGCAGGCCCCCTTTTCACATGCTCATCTACCTCCCGACACCTATCCCCGGATTCTAATCAGGAGGAACAACATACAATATGACAGATAACGGCGAGAGTTCCTCGCTAAACCCAGCGCGGGCAGTGCCAATTACGGCGTCGTCTTTTAGATCATCCTCCCCTGCACCAGATGGAACTATTAGACAGGCCTCGATGGCTCGGCTGGCTTCGCCCGTTCCCTCTCCATCTCTAGGGACGTCCTTGTCGTCTCGACAAGGTGTCCCGACTGGTCGACCAATTAGTACCACAACTTCGAATTTCAACTCCGAACACAACTTCCGGGCCGTCAATGACCTTTCCTCGCTACCAGGGCCAGGTCAGTCTATGCTTGCGTCACAACTGCAAGAAAGTCTTGGTCGCTCGCCCCCTAATTTTGGGACCCCTTCTCGAGTAGCTGGATCGCCCGTGCCACAATCAGCCCTCGAAAACCGCGCGGTGACTTCGCAATACGGATCATTTGACACGAGAAATGGTCACGACTCTCCGGCCCCGAACGAGGACCCGGAGGTGGTAAAAAGGCACCTGGTCATGCCGTCCCAGGTCTCCGAGCACCGTGATACGGGGTCGGAGCTTGGAACTAGCATGGGTGAGGATCATTTCTCGAGTCTGCAGCTGCAGGGAGGCGACATGACTCGAGAGGTCTATCGGTGGGCAGAAGATGCCGAGTCTGATAACCGGTTCGCACGCAGCAAGAGCTTCAGCGTCAGCCGACCAGCTCCATCAGCCGAAACCGAGGACATCCACACAATTCTTGTGCCAGGAGGGTTCCGACGAGACTATTTGCGAAGAACTGCGGGAAGCCCGCACCGTGGAAGTGTACAAGGGTCTAATTCTGGGGCAGCACCTCAGCATCAGCTACCCACTTCCAACTTTTTGGAATTCTTGACATTATATGGTCACTTTGCTGGAGAAGAGCTGGAGGAGGATGACGAGGTCCTGGGTCCAGATGAGTACTTCTCGTCTGATACTTGGGATGAACCAGAGGAGGGTAGAGAGTCTGGAGAAGATGCGGCCTTGCTTCAAGGCGATCACGCCGGCCGCAGGAAACGAAAGCACAAGGCCCGCGCACCTTCAGGTACCACAACTGTTACTGGCGCCGTCATGTTGCTGCTCAAGTCCTTTGTGGGTACGGGAATTCTCTTCTTGCCCCGCGCTTTCCTGAATGGAGGCTTGCTATTTAGTAGCATGGTACTCCTCGGAGTCTCGCTGCTCAGCTACTATGCCTTCATCCTGCTGGTCAACACCCGCATGAAGATTGATGGATCGTTTGGTGATATCGGAGGCATTCTGTACGGGAAACACATGAGACGCATTATCCTAGGGTCTATTGTTCTCAGTCAATTGGGATTTGTGGCGGCATACATCGTATTTGTGTCGCAAAACTTGCAAGCGTTTGTACTCGCTGTGAGTAAATGCGCAACCTTCGTTGATCTCAAGTACTTGGTGCTTTTACAACTGGTCATTTTCTTGCCCCTCTCCCTGATTCGCGACATCAGCAAGCTTGGGTTTACTGCGCTTATTGCGGATGCGTTCATTCTACTGGGCTTGCTGTACATTTACTATTATGATGCCAGCACCCTCATCGGCAATGGTGGTATCTCGGATGTTATCTCCTTCAACCCCGCAACCTGGTCCATGTTTATTGGAACTGCCATCTTCACCTATGAAGGCATCGGTCTCATCATTCCCATTCAGGAGTCGATGAGGGAGCCCCACCGATTCGCAGGGGTTCTGGCTGGTGTCATGGTTATCATCACTCTGATCTTCCTTTCTGCGGGAGCTCTGAGCTATGCAGCCTACGGATCGGCAACCAAGACTGTCATCCTGCTTAACTTGCCTCAGGATGACAAGTTTGTCAATGTGGTTCAGTTGCTTTACTCGCTCGCTATCCTGCTGAGTACCCCTCTGCAGCTCTTCCCTGCCATTCGTATCATGGAAAATGAACTTTTCACCCGCAGTGGCAAATACAACCCATACATCAAGTGGAAGAAGAATGCCTTCCGTTTCTTTTTGGTCATTGTATGTGCCGTCGTTGGCTGGGCTGGAGCTGACGATCTTGACAAGTTTGTTTCGCTGGTCGGAAGCTTCGCCTGTGTTCCATTGATCTACGTCTATCCGGTAAGCTTGTCCTGGCCATCAATATTCCCGATCTTCAAGACTAATACTTTTACTTTCAATATAGCCCTTGCTTCACCTTCGTGCCTGCGCCCGTACTCGGCGCCAAGCATTTGCCGATATCGCTCTCACTGTCTTAGGTGTTATTGGCTGCATCTACACAACGACGCTGACCATCCAAAACTGGATTGCTGGCGGTGTTCCTCCAAGCCCGGGCTACTGTGATTCCAAGTGATTGTTCCTTACGAGTGGTGCTGTTCAATTATTTCCTGTCTGTTTCAACACTAGAAGGCATAGCATATTATGTTTCTTTCTCCCATGGGCCGCGAGCAGATATGGATCTTGGTGTTCGGTTTCTTGAGAAATGGCCAAATTATTTGGCGGGCTTTGAGAATTGCATGGGCTCTTGTACACATATTTTGTCTTAATGCCTGAAAGCAAAGTTTACCGGGTATATCGCAATGGATTCTGTAGTACATATTTTTTACGTCAAACGGCACCTGGGCAAAGCAAGTTATGGGTGAAATGATTCAATTTAGTAGTCTATGTACAGTGACCAGACAAGCACACCAGACCCTTTTGAAAGAAATCAGTCTACTTTCCAGTCATAACCCCCATCGGATCTCTTGTCTCTATAATCCTGCCCTCAAGCACCACACTGAATACCAATCATTTCCCTCTTCCAGTATTCCTCACTTCAACCACTCGGAAAAAATCAGAAGAACACATATGTAAAGAATAGAGGTATAACACAGCAGATCAAGGGTAAAGACAAGCGAGCCAAATGAACATCAACAAGTACAGCCGAGTATATGATTTTACGCGGAAGCGCCCTCAGCAACAGCCTGGCCCTGCTTCGCCTTCTCAGCGAGCTGAGCTTCTCGGCCACCCCAGCTAAAACAAAAAAAGCATGTCAGTGTGAGATCAAATTATAATGTAGGGAATCCACATAGCACATGGACAGAGTCACATCGAAATCCACGAGATATTTCTTGGGGCAACGCACTTCCAGTAAGACAGATACCGGTATCCCTGGGTAGCCTGGGCGCCGAAGTTGGTCAAGTGGCAGGCAAAGAGAAGGTAGTTCTTGGGTGTGATAGCGAGGGAGTAGCGCATGAAAGTGCCAGCGTAGACAAACAGGGCAGCAGTCATAGTACCGGAGATACTGCACAGAAAAAGGTGTTAGTCGCGGTCTTCTCGTTGCCTTATCTGGGTGATCCGTAATAGATAGACGAAGGAAACCAGCTTCTGATTGAAATGAAACTAGTCCAGGATATCGAATCGGGGTAGGAATCGGGTCGGAGGGGTCCAACATACATCTCAGGATCCTTCTGAGTGTCCATCACAGCAGCAAAGGGAATACCGAAGTTGGAGACAGGGCCCCAGAAGTCTGTAGTAGCACATAGTCATTAGCAATTGCTTTCAAGCACATAGCTCAAGCTTATTTGTCGTCGCCGGGATCGTGCTTCCGTCTGGAATTTCGGTCGGTAGATTCCGATGCACTTGTAGCCAGCCAATTTCTTGCGTTCTGGCTTTCAAGGTGTAATATCATAGCTGGCCGATCTCGGTCCCGGAAGCACGGCGGGAAACTCGGGGGAAGAATTGGGGCGCAGGAAACGTACGAGTGGAGCAGACATAGTCCGCTACCTTGTTGGAGCGGATCTTGGCGTTGATTGCCTTAATAACAGCGGCCATGGCGACGAGTGCTGGTGACAATCGAGGGATAGGGCGCGGTAAGTTGAGGTTGGGGGTCTCGGGTGTGGAATTGACTCGACTTGACCGGGGTCGGCCGTTGGTCACGTGCCCGTATCGGATATCAAGCGGCTTATTTCCGTCAATTACAAGAGGTGGGATTCGGTCTAGGCTTAGTGTATTTATGATTTATATTGCAATGGTGTCAAATCTGTGATCATTGAAAGAACTGAAGTCACGATAGAATCAGTTGCCGCTTGTGGTTTTGTATGTAACATTGGGATTTGAAACTTGAAGACATGCTGTGCCGTTGCACCTAAAATATATAGTCTTACAAACCTTGGAAGGAAGTTTTACCTAGTCATAACCTTCATCTAACCATGTAAACATCCAAGCTTCAAGGACATGGAAACAAATATGTATTGCATTTTTGCGACAAAGGGGTCATAGGAACTAGCTAGCATTATTGGGTACTGAATGCAAATCTCAAAAGGATTTCTCGGCTTTTTTGGTTTCCAATCCTTGACACGACCTCCATTCCGCATGCGCCGCAACGCCTTGCCCGGTAGATTGTGGGTTGATCTAGCCTGTATGCGTGCTGTTTCTCCAGGATAAAAGAGCCTCAGTTCACTCCCAGCCCTGAACCGTCCCTATACCTTTCCAGGTGAAAACAAACCGCCAATTTGAAGCTTGGAATCTTCTTCCGATGTTCACTTAAATCATCTTCCGCCGAAGCCTGGTGGGGGGTATCCTCGTCCCTGCCCAGGAGGCTGGAAGCCGGGAGGAGGTTGGAAAGCGCCCGCTAATAAATGCGTTAGCTGGGGGTATAAGATGAAATTATGACAAAGACTAAAACTTACGAGGAGCACCGGGGGGAACGAAGCCAGGAGGGGGAGCAAAGCCAGCTAGAAGGATAAATATGTCAGTCTCCAAGAATGTGCTCAGGTCATTTCAGGAACTTACGAGGTCCACCTGGGGGTCCTCCACGACCAGCAAATCCTGGAGGGGGCGCACCAGGGAATCCTCCTGGAGGGAAAGCACCAAAACCACCGGGAGGAGGCGGGCCACCGACACCAGCAGCTGGACCACCGAGTCCAATGGGCAGGCCACGACCAGCGGGCTTGCTGACACCGGGGCCGGCAGCGAGAGTGGCAGCGGGGCCAGCACCGGGAGCGTTACCGAGACGGGCAGAGGGGTCGGCAGGAGGGGGACCGTCGACGGAGCAGGAAACGACCTGGGCGCCGCGCACGATGGTCAAACCGAGGGTTCGCTTCTCCTCTGCTTCGACCTGCGGGGTGGCAGTGGAGCCGGGGGCGGCCTTAGATTTCCGCTTGATACGGCGGAACTCTTCTGTGTCGGCGAGAACAAGGTTCATGTGCTGCAGAGAAACAAAAGCTGTCAGTTTTTGCCATGAGCCTGTGCTGATGGGGGACAAGGACGGACCTTATCGAAGGCCAGCATCTGACCGGTCATCTGGCGACCATCATTCAGGGTAACTCTCATCCGGTAGTTGATCTAGGAGACATGTTAAATGGGCCAATTGAAGGCGAATTGTATCACAAGTGAACTTACAAGGTTGGCCTAGACAAAAGAAGTTAGCGACAACCATTCGGTGCACATAGTCTTGGGATTGCACTGAGAAATCGGGGAGAACTCACCATCTTGCCTTGCTTGTTGGCGGCCATTATCGGCTAGAACGCGCACGAATGCGACTTCGAAGACTCAAAAAATTTGCAAGAGATACAGGAGCAGTGTTCTCTTGATGGGTAGATCGAGCGAGGCGCGGGATCCAGTGAGAAGCTAAGCTCTTGATACGGCGCAGGTTACTGCACTCAGTTTCTGGATAGTAGCTGACTCATCAACTGACAGTCCACACCGCCTGACAGAAATATGATTAGATCAGCAATAGGCCTCATATGGTCACGTGCCGCAAAATTTAAGATTTCGCATCACATGACTTGAGGGCTCGCTTCCGACTTCCCGTGACCTTGATCCCGTGATTCCGGAGCCCACACAAACCGCTTTTGTGCTTTTCGCAAGTTCTATCTCGTCGACAACCACCCTCACGCCCACCCACACACCAGTCGCCATGGTATGTTAGCACCACAACCACCATTCTACATCGCACAACACATATTCTAACAGCAATGCAGTCGGACGGAAAGGACAAGAGCGCAAACCCCATGCGCGAGCTGCGCATCCAGAAGCTCGTGCTGAACATCTCTGTCGGCGAGTCTGGTGACAGACTTACCCGTGCCGCCAAGGTGCTGGAGCAGCTGAGTGGTCAGACCCCCGTCTACTCCAAGGCCCGTTACACCGTCCGTACCTTCGGTATTCGTCGTAACGAGAAGATCTCCGTCCACGTCACCGTCCGTGGCCCCAAGGCCGAGGAGATTCTCGAGCGTGGCCTCAAGGTCAAGGAGTACGAGCTCCGCAAGCGCAACTTCTCCGAGACCGGTAACTTCGGTTTCGGTATCTCCGAGCACATCGATCTGGGTATCAAGTACGACCCCGGTATCGGTATCTACGGCATGGACTTCTACTGCTGCATGTGAGTGACATCTGGAATAAGGTCAGAGGAGGCAAGGAACAAAACTAACCGTTGATTCTTAATAGGACCCGCCCCGGTGAGCGTGTTGCCAAGCGTCGCCGCTGCAAGGCCTCCATCGGTGTCAACCACAAGATCAACAGCACCGAGACCATGAAGTGGTTCAAGAACCGCTTCGACGGTATCATCCGGTAAACGCCTCATGGAAAGTTGGGGTGAATGAAATCTTGTGATTTACGATTCTCCCTCCCGAAAAGAAAACAAAAATCTCGGTCCAGGATGAGAATCAACCCGGCCGGGCTCCTGATCTCTGCGTCGGATATGGTGTTCTGAACCTTTCTACTTTTTTAATCTACCACGGCAACCAGGATAGGCGTGTTAGAGACATGAATTCACTACACATTTGCACAAAGCGCATTCCCCTTTTCACAATGAAGGCTTCACGAAAGGTGTTGATTTCCGCATAACCATTGTCGAAAAGACTGGTTGATACTGGACCCGTCTGGTATCACCATGACTCGCTTGACTTGGGTTTGCCCGTCAAAGAGTCGGTCTGTATCTCCGGGTTCGTCCTGTGAGATGAGTACCACCCTGGCCTATCTTGTCCGTTACTGTCTACACCTGGTGTGCTTTCTTTGCGTAGCAGTAGTCTTCGTAGTACGTAGTCGTACTTGGGCTGAGATGCCCCTCTAGACCTTGGAGCCCACACCCCCACCAGCCCAAATCTACTCGGAACTGCCCATCACACCTCCCACAAGTACTGCACCAGAATTCAGTTACTTTCGACATCTCCTCGCTTAGCGAAGTCAGTCTTCCGATGTCCAACACTACTAGAAAGAACTCCAGGTTTATCGATCTACGTCATTATGTGCCCGGGGCAATGCCACGACAAGTGGTCGAGAGCAGGTATTGAAATAACCTCAAATTTGATTGAAATAAGTCTTAAATGTTCCAAGGTTCTTGAAATATTCGTACTGTGGAACGGTAATGAAATCATCGGTAATCACCCAATTGCTCACAGCTCGTCTGGGCAGATGTTGCATGTTGCAGCTTGCTTTTCCTACTGTAGTTACCCCGAGATCAATCATTTATGACAAATAAAAGGTATGCACATCGGGGCTTTTGCGATCGCAATCAGCTCCCCAGCCTTTACTTTTCACTTCATACCAGGGTCGGACCAATTTTTGCTGTCGCTCTTTTTCCTTTACACGGAAGAGGAGAAGGACTCAATAGAAGAGAAGAATTGGAATTCGGAAAAGAGGGGTTTCTACATTCGAAATTCGCGGCTTCCTTATTTGGAAATATTGAGCCTTTGACAAATGAAACCTTCCATGCAAACCAATCCAACACAAACTTGATGTGTAGACCAGGGATAGAGGTGCTTGATGTTGAAAATGGGTTGTTCCCTTGCTGATGTGTATGATAGCCCACCGCGGGCGGCACACAGCCCAGGTAAAGCCCTTGCTAGTCAGGTAACTAGACTAAACATTTCAGTGGTAAATCAATCTAGTGATATTATTGGGATATATGTAACTACAATATACCATCGATGAATAGACAATACAGCTCAATGCTTTCCAAGGTTCCTGGTGCAAGTCGAAATATATCTTTGGGAGTACGCGAGCCAATTCAAACTTCATTTTCAATGCAGCTCATTTCATAATTTGTAATAGATAAAACATAAACGTCAATAATAACAAATCAAAAGCTGGATACAAGACCAAATCAAGATCCATCCAACCCACATTCCCACCTCATATCCCAATACGTATCAGCCCAATCAAGATGGTACCTCAAAATCACCTACTTCCCCCTAGTATACCCATTCCAAAGCTTCGAGAAGTATCCCCCGGAACCTGCTGCTCATTCCAACTCGCCCTCCGTCCTGCCATGCTCGGATCCGTACTCTCCCGCTTCTGAGTCTGCAGGTTCGAGAAGAGACCTGCACCACTACCGGAGGACGAGGCACTCGAGCGTCGACGTTCGCTGACGGTGGGTGTGTTGGGTGAGCCGGCGGGGTTTGCGGTGGCATTGTTCGAGGATGTAGAGGCGTCGGAGCCCTGAATAATATCATATTAGCCAATGTCAATGTTGTGTTGGTGGGCTGCATAGTGAAAGTTAGCGAAGTTCAAATGCGAATGCAGTGGGGGGGGGAACTCACCATTTGAAATTTAGTCAAGCGATAATTCAACACATACTCCGACTGATGCGTAGGAATAGTGTTTTCAAGGAGTTCTATAGTTTATAGGGAAGGCAGGTGCTGGGCTGGACAGTACCTTCCGGGCATTCAGATTAGCCATCATCTCCGGTGTCAGCGCCCATGATGCACGGGAGGCTGGTCCCTTCGCTCCACCTGCCGTCCAGGCATTGACGTGCTCGTAGCGATCACCGGCACTACCGTGCCAGTGGCGGCGTTCGTTGTCATTCGCGTTGTCGGACATGTTTGAGTGTCCGTTTCAATCGATATCCGATTAGGCTTGGGTTTGCTGTTCCAGTATTGGAACAGTTTGTATTTTCTTATAAAATGGAGGTTGTAAATTAGTTCAGTTTGAAAGAGATTAGATTGGTGTGCAAAAAGAGTGAAACAGATTAATGGGAGCTAGGAGAGTCACATGGGGAGAAGTCAAAGACGTCATGGAGGGAATGTTTGGGATGGATGCTTGGGATCCGTGGGTAGGGGGTTTGGGATCTCTGTGGAGATCGAGATTGATCTGAACATTTCAAATGGAAGATACAAGAGGACGAGGAAAAGAAAAAGAGATAGAGACATACCGTGATGTGTTAGAGGAGTAAGAAAGGTGCAGAGTAAATGGAGGGGAAAGACCACACTTATATAGCAACGCACAGGAATCTATTACGCATACTACATACATGAAAAAGACCCATAACTAACTACTACCTTACCCAAGCACTAGGTTCAGCTCACGTATTATGGTAACTAACCCCGGACTTTGGTAGTTACCCCATCAGGCGATCATCGTGAAACCAACCAAATGAATCACCATTGTTGATGAAGATACATACTGTACACAAGGGTCTGGGATTACCTTTGTGAAATCCAACCACTGATTTCCTGATGAGAATCGTTTCCCATGAACCCAGCGAGTCGGAGTGGCTGCCATCTTGATTACGCGGCGGCAGCTTGACGTAACAAAAAATGCGGGGAAAGCTCAGAAGAAATCAGCTAATTGCTGCATGTATTAGTCTAGTACTCGGTACATGTCCCAGTATGTGGCCTTGCATATCAGAAGCAAGTACCGTATACCCCGCATATCGTTTTGCTTAACACTAGCTGGGCGATCATGTTTCAAGTTGGGTGTTTCCAGGGTTGGTATCTGGTCTTGCCGCATGCGATTACGTCGTCAGACTGCTTTGGGGATTGGGTTTATCTCGATTGCGATTGAGTTTGAACTGGATCTACTGGAAGAGTCGAGATATGTGTATCGGTGGATTTGCCCAAGCTCTTACGCACTCGACATAGGGTCTGAGATCCACAAGACCTAGCACAGGCCCTAGGTGACACGGGTTAAGGTTGACTCCACTCGAGCTGGATAGTACTACTTTACCACCAAGGATATGACTACTGGGTTGATAGATGGCAATAAATGAAGAAAAAAATATCCATTCGTCACGGACGATGACAGTAATAAGAGATAACCAGAACCTAAGCCAGCAATAACAACCAAAAAAGTCCCGCGGGAAAAACAAACCAAACGCTGAAAGCTATCATTCACATCTTTGCGCATCAGTCGTGCACATCTTATACACAACTTTTAGACATTTAAGCCTTGCCGATCTTGCAGATCAAGTCCTGGCCGTCAACGGAGTCACCCTCCTTGACTTGCAGGCTCTCGACCTTACCACTGTGAGGGGCGGAGATGACCATTTCCTGGAAAGCTATTAGTATAAGGTTCATAATAAAAAGAATACTGTTTCTGGGGCAAGTTATCACATACCATCTTCATAGCGCTCAGCACCGCAATGGGGTCACCCTTCTTCACCTCGTGGCCGTCGTGGACACGGATCTCAACAACAACACCGCTCATGGGCGCACCGACCTGGCTGCTGTCTGCAGCATCGGCCTTGGGGCGGGCAATGTTGTCGACGGAGGCCTTGTGGTCATCAACGCTGACCTGGCGAACCTCACCGTTGACCTCGTAGAAGACCTCACGCTGACCAGTCTGCTCGGAGAGGGGACCGATGGCGAGCAACTTCAGGATCAGAACCTTGCCCTGCTCCAGCTCGACGTGGAACTCCTCGCCAATCTCAGGACGGGCCAGGAAGAAGCGAGTAGGCAAGACGGAAAGATCACCGTACTTGGAGACGAACTTGCGGTAGTCCTCGAACACCTTGGGGTACATCGCGTAGGAAGCGACGTCGCACTCGGTGGCGGAGCCGAACTTCTCGCGGATGTCCTTCTTGATCTGGGTCAGGTCCAGGGGCTCAAGGTAGAGACCGGGGCGCTTGTCGAGCTTGCGGCGGTCGCGCAGGGCTCGGGAGCGGAGGGGCTCGGGGAAGCCACCGAAGGGCTGACCCATCAGACCCTCAAGGAACTCCAGGACGGATCCGGGGAAGTCGAGCTCGCCGGCGCGGGCGACAACGTCCTCAGCGGTCAGCTTGTTGGACACCATGAACTGGGCAAGATCACCAACGACCTTGGAGGTCGGAGTAACCTTGACGATGTCACCAAGCAGATCGTTGGCGGCCTCGTAGGCCTTCTTGGTCTCAGCCCACTGCTGACCGAGACCGAGCTGGCTAGCCTGGAAGATCAGGTTGGTGAGCTGGCCACCAGGGATCTCGTGCTCGTAGACTTCGGGATCGGGACCGGTCAGACCAGCCTCGAAGGGAGAGTAGAGCAGACGAAGCTGAGCCCAGTAGGTGTCAAGGGCGCGAACGTGGCCCAGGTCGAGCTGGGGGTCCTGCTCAGTGCCCTGGAGCGAGGCCAGAATGGCACCGATGCTGGGCTGGGAGGTCATACCAGACAGACTGTCAGTGGCGGCATCGACGGCATCAGCGCCAGCCTGGGCGCAGGCAATCATCGAAGCAACACCGGTACCAGCAGAGTCGTGGGTGTGAACGTGGATGGGGAGGTCAGGGTAGCGCTCGCGGATGGCACCAACCAGGAGACGGGCAGCCTGGGGCTTGAGAACACCAGCCATATCCTTGATACCAAGACTATGAGTGCCCATCTGGACAATACGCTCAACCAGAGCCAAGTAGTACTCCAAGTTGTACTTCTTGCTGGGGTTCAGCATGTCACCGGAGTAACAGATGGTGGCCTCAACCACACCACCGGCCTGCTGGACGGCCTTGATACCGACCTCGAGCTGGTCGACGTCGTTGAGAGCATCGAAGACACGGAAGATGTCAACACCGTACTTCTTGGCCTGCAAACAGAAGTGGTAGATGGCATTGTCGGGAAGGGAGGAGTAGGCGACACCGTTGGCACCACGCAGCAGCATCTGGAAGGGAATGTTGGGAACAGCCTTGCGGAGCTTGCGCAGACGGTCCCAGGGGTCCTCGTAGAGGAAACGCATGGCGACATCGAAGGTAGCACCACCCCAGCACTCGAGAGAGTAAGCGTTGTGGAGAGCGTGGCTGGTCTCGTGAGCGATGTTCAGCATATCAATGGTACGCACACGGGTGGCCAGGAGAGACTGGTGGGCATCACGCCAGGTGGTGTCCATAATCAAGCAGCCCTTGTTGGCACGCACAGCCTTTGCCCAAGCAGCGGGGCCCTGGCTGTCAAGAATCTGCTTCCATCCCTTAGTGCAGGGCTGGGAGACATCGAGGGGAGCACCAGTGGCATCCCGGAGGATGGGCTTGATGATGTCAACCTTCAGCTTGGGTTCACCAATCTGGCCCTTGATGCTGCTGCCGTTGACGGCGACATCACCCAGGTAAGCCAGCAGCTTCTGGGCACGGTTCTGAGAGTTGACTAGGGCGAACAGCTCGGGGGTATCATCGATGAAAGTGGTCCAGCAGGTACCATCAATGAAAGTAGGGTGGCTCAGCAAAGAAGCAAGGAAGGGAATGTTGGTCTTGACACCACGAATACGGAACTCAACCAAGGCACGCAGGACCTTGCGGCGGGCAATCTCGTAGGTGGAACCACGGCAGGTACACTTGACCAGCATGGAGTCGTAGTGAGGAGTGATGATAGCACCGGCGAAACCGTTACCACCATCAAGACGCACACCGTTACCACCAGCAGAGCGGTAGACCTCAATCTTACCGGTATCGGGGGAGAAGCCCTTGGCGGGGTCCTCGGTGGTGATACGACACTGAATGGCAAAGCCACGGATGGAGATGCGGTCCTGAGTCAGACCAAGCTGCTCAAGGGTAGCACCAGCAGCAATCTGGATTTGAGCAGCAACAAGATCGATACCGGTGATCTCCTCAGTGATGGTGTGCTCGACCTGAATACGAGGGTTGATCTCAATGAAGTAGTGGCGGTTCTGTTGGTCCACCAGGAACTCAGCAGTACCGGCGTTGCGGTACTTGACAGACTTGGCCAGCTTCACGGCGTCAGACAAGATCTGGTCCCGCACGTTGACAGGGAGATCCTTGGCCGGAGCAATCTCAACGACCTTCTGGTGACGACGCTGAACGGAGCAGTCACGCTCGAACAGGTGGACCACGTTGCCCTGGTTGTCACCGAGCAGCTGGACCTCAATGTGCTTGGGTTTGTCAAGGAAGCGCTCGACGAAGACGGTGCCGTTACCAAAGGCCGAGCGGGCCTCGGAAGTGGCACGCTCAAAGGCATCACGGAGCTCGCCCTGGTCGCGGACGACACGCATACCGCGGCCACCACCACCGAAGGCGGCCTTAATGATAATGGGGAAGCCATACTCATCAGTGAAAGCCTTGACCTCCTCGTAGCGCTCAACGGGTCCTTCCGTACCGGGAACAACCGGGACGCCGCACTTGATCGCCAGCCGGCGAGCGGAGACCTTGTCACCAAGAGCATCAATGGTGTCAGCGGTCGGGCCCACGAAAACGATGCCCGCCTTCTCGACATTTCGGGCGAATTCGGCATTCTCCGACAAGAAACCGTAGCCAGGGTGGATCAGGTGCACACCGTGCTCCTGGGCGATCTTAATGATCTCCTCGCCCGCCAGGTAGGCACCAACGGGGGTATATTGACCCCGCTTGCCAATCATGTAAGCCTCGTCGGCCTTCTGGCGATGCATGGACAGACGATCTTCGTGTGAGTAGACGGCAACTGTCTGCAGAGACAGCTCGTGAGCTGTACGGAAGATCCGAATGGGGATTTCACCACGGTTGGCTACGAGGATCTTCTGGAAGTGCATGATAGTGGAGTTCGCCCGCAGACGACGGTGAACGGAGTCATGGTGGTGTTCGAGATGGTCCTCGACGAACTCGGACTCATCGATTGCCTCCTCGAGTTGACGGTGCGGGGCAGACATTGTGACGTGGG